GTCATAGGACGTGAGGCAGAGAATGCGTACTGGGTATTACACGAGAATATCCCTGTACTTGTGAACGCTAGGAAGATGCGCCCAGCTGATGAAATCGAAGTTGCAGCGCACCGCGTTTTGGCAGGTGAACCAGTGCTTCCGGAAGCCATCGTACATGGGCCGGAACAAAGGTTCCAGGATGAGCGCGTAGCGGACCCGGTCACAGCACCAGCGACGCCACGTCCAGTGGCCGCAGCTGCCCCGCTTACACCGGCAGTCGCGCACGATGTGCCTATGCCAGCACCATCGACGCCAGCGATGATGCCCGGCACACCGATGCCAGCGCCGTCTACCCCTGCAAGGTTTCGCGCCAAAGATAAGACGGGCGAAACCGCTCGGTCGCGATCGCCAGTAGGAGGCCGTGATGACGCACTAGTTGCGGAAGAACTTGATCAAGTAGAGATCATGGCAAAAGGCCTGATAGATGCTCAGGGTTTCTCTCCAGATGAGTGTCTGGCCCTCCTTCGCGCTTATGACCGCGACCGACGCGAGGCGTACACGCGCCCGCTCCTAGATGATGGAGATCCCGGGAGCATAGCCCTCGCGGTGGGAGTATATCGGCACGGTGGTCTTGTTGGTGTCTCTGGACCGACGCGCGAGAGACCGTCGTTCGCCATGTACCTCAACCACTACCTCTTGCATCACAGTATGCAAGCCGGCCACCATCTTCCACAGTGGAGTAGCGTTCAGCTTACCAACAGAGGCGCAGAGGCCCACAGAGACCTAGCGAACACTCCTGGCTCGTATAACTACACTATGGTGTGGGCGAGTATCGTAGAGGCGGTCTATGGGTGGAAGAAGCCACGGGTACAACCCCCGTGCGTGTCCAAAACGCGACAATGTATGGCACTGTCCATGATACTAAGAACAAGGTTCTTAAGTTTCGCCCGAAGGACGTGCACATGGTCGCACCGTTTGTAGGAGGAAGATACAGTCTCTCCGCATACACGGTGAGTGATCTCGGCAAGTTGTCTAAGGATGACATACAGCTTTTGTCGGATCTAGGCTACCCCATATATAGGGATGCGCCCAACACCTTTGGCAGGAAAAGCGATGGGATATACACCATGGGTCACTCTGATCTTCCCATCGAGACGTTCCTAGAACGCATCCACGAGTACGGGATTAAGGAAATCGTAGATTGCAGAAGCCACCCGTACAGCGTTCGGCATCCACAATACAATTGTGATGAGCTTTCTGCCACATGTTTTGCAAAAGGGGTTGTGTACAGTCACGCCCCCGAGTTAGGCAACAGGAACCGGGGCGGGATTGAAGCCAACCTGCAAACAGACCAAGGGCTCTGCACGATCGCTAGAATAGTTAGCGAGGCTCACGATGACTTTCACCGAACACTTCTGTTATGTTCGGAGGCCAGTTGGCGGCGATGCCATCGGCGAAATATCGCCCAGCACATATGGCTCGAGCATTCGAAACTTGCGGAGCACATACGTGCTAACGGACTGCCAGAAGCCCATCCGTGTCACTACACTCCTGAGGAGGACGACGGACTGGCAGCAGCATCGCACACAGCTGCGATTGGCACGACAGTGCCAGCAGTTGAGCCCTCGGATAGTCGCGAGGCGGAATCCAAGGCCTTTGCTCTCACCCCTGATGGGGAAGACGCCTTCGGCTCTAACGTCGACGTTGGCTATATGGCCTCGCTCCTGGATTACCATAAGGCCCCTGTCGAGGTACAGTTGGGCCTGGATGCTGCCATGAAGACTGAATGGCAGAAGTACACTGAATTCAACGCAGTGGTCCCTTGCACAGACAAGGAGTTTAAGGAGCTTACAAAGGCTGGCCACGTGTGTATCCCCACCAAATGGGTTCTTACCGATAAGAATGAACACCTAAAGGGGACAGCAGCATACACTCCCAAGTGGAAAGCACGCTTGGTCGCATGTGGAAACTTCGAGCATATCTCGAATGAGGAGGATATCAGGGCAGACAGCCCCACGGCCGAGCCGGAAGGTATAGCCCTTCTGTGTTCATGGGCGGTTTCGTTGGCCCTGCGGCTCAAAGCAGCCGATATAACGAACGCATACTTCCAAGGGAAACCCCTTGAGCGCCTCCTCATTCTTCGGGTTCCCAAACACCCTAAGGGTGTGCCCGATGCAGAAATTCAGCGAGCCGGGTATATGATTGCCCGAGTACCCGTGTACGGCACCACCGACGCGGGCCGGAACCTTTACCTCCGTATAAAGGAGAGTTGTCGAGAATTTGGCTTAAATGCCTCGCAAATTCTGTCAGCCCTGTACTATATTACAGGAGAAGGTGGTCGTTTGTGCGCTTGCTTGTGCACCCACGTGGATGATTTCCTGTGGGCTGCTACCGCCGAAGGCGAGCCGGCTATCCAGAATCTGCTGGATAAGTTTAAGATCGGTCGCATAGAGACTGAGAAGTTCCGTTTCTGCGGACGCGAGTATGTGCAAAGCGCCGATGGGACCATCAGTATAAACTGTAGGGACAACACGCGTGCAATTCGCCCGATCGATATACATAAATCTGAAAAGGGCACGACTCCAGTCTCGAATGGCCAGCGCACAGCGCTGAGATCCGTCATAGGATCGCTGGCTTGGGTGGCTCGCGCCACGAGACCTGATCTTGCCTATAGGGTGAATGCCCTGCAGCAGCGTGTTACGACAGCCACGGTGGATACGCTCCGTGAAGCAAACCGCGTAGTAGCACTGGCGTTAGGAGATGCGGATAGGCCGATCACGTACAGCGCTAAGTTACCCTGGAGTACAGGGGACCTGGCGGTCGTCACGTTTTGCGATGCCTCCTTTGCAGGAGAGGCGAACCATAAGTCGCAGAGAGGCCGTTTCCACTACCTCACTTCCGCACAGTCGGCGGTGGACAAGAACGCGTCAACGCATGAGATGCACCTCATTTCGTTTTCCTCGTCCACCATGAAACGGGTTTGTCGAGCCACACTGCAGTGTGAGGCTTACTCGTTGCAGCATGCCATAGAACACGGAGATCGCATTCGAGCAGCAGTACTCGAAGTACTCGGCAAACTGCCCCGGTCACAGAACTGGGAAGAAGTCGCCAAAAGATCGATGTTCCACCTGCAGTATACGGACTGCAGGTCCCTTTCGGATCACTTGACAGCGTCGATTCCAAAATCCTGCGAGGATAAACGCCTTGCCATTGAGATGTCTGGACTTCGCCAAGGACTCTGGGAGGAGGACGAGCTAACGCACGTCCTGTACCATCCCTGTGGCGACGAGTTGAGGTGGATACCGACGCATTTACAACTTGCGGATTGTCTCACTAAGAGTATGAAACCGCTTTTGATCAATCACAGCATTGATCGCAACCTCGTACAGGTACTCGATGTGCCCGCGCAAGCAGCACAGAATACCGAGAGTACCGAAAGCACTCCGCTTCACGATTGAGGAACTCAGCCTAGAGCCTTGAGTCGCCGCACTCGGCTCGGTTGACTGTGCAAGCTCCCGGTATAATCCGGTGAAGTAGGCTTGGTCCAAAGCGACCAAAATTCGAGCATGATTCGGACGTCACACTACAGATAAGACGGGTGTGAAATTTCCCTGTCTTGAAGCGCCGTGTTGACATGTCCTCATGCGAGCGTAGTTTTTATGTTCAGTTCTGAATGCACCCTGTACGACAGACGTCTTGGGCTCAGACCAAAAAGTGTGCTCGTTGTGTGGTTGGACACTCACTAATCCAGTTCCTGCTTCAAAACCCCAAACTAAGCTCTGAGCTCTAAACCAATAGGCCTAGACGTAAGAAGGTTTTCTATGCATGAATATAGGAACCCAGAATCACATCGCACAAAGCGTGAGCCAAGCCTGAAGCCACAGAAATCGTTGCATGTGGGGTTTTCTGATGTGCGGTTGGTTGATTGTCTTGTTCAGCGTATTGTATTTGGGGGGATGTACATGACGTGGGTCTCTTTGAGAGTCTTCACTGCTCCATGCTAAGTGTTCGAACCCGACAGCTTGAAACACCAGCGCCCCGACTCCCTGAACAGATAATCACCTAAACTCAGCACTAAACCCTAAACCCTAAACCCTAAGCCCTAAGGACACTAAGCCTGGGAGCCCAACAGTAATTTCTGGCAGTAACCCTAAGGGTCCATGTACCCAAATAGTGTATACTTTGGGCCCAATGTATCGATATAGGGACTACTTTAAGGCCAATGTATATACTATATGAGTACATGGACCCTTAGGGTAATCGAAGCGGATCCCTAAAGGCAAGCACGTCTACGTGTACAAGGAGACCAGCAAAAGATACGGGGACAAGTGCAAGTCTGAGAAGCACATCATCACAAGGAACTTTGTGAGGCAGTGCTGGGTGGCTGGAGTTTCCTACCCTAAATGGTGGGATCCTGATTATAAGGACCCCAGAATAAGGTACCCCTGATTTTCGGAAACTTCCAGTTTAGGAGTTGCGGGTCCCGGGTGAGGTGCCGAGCACAGCTATGATTTGATTTTGCCGAGACCCTAAAGAACCTACCCGTTTAGTTTAGGGTTCCCTATTACAGTTTCCCTAGAATATAAGTCCTTTCAAAAAGGTAGGTTATTTGCGGTTCAGGTACAGACTTCAACCCAGCAGCCACGACCTATGTATGATCCAATGTCTTCCCAGTGCGTCGCGCGTGCAGCCGTGGGTCTATGAAGTACACGCCGGTACAGGGCATGCAACGGTTGATGATATAAATCCCGCATTCCCTTAAGGACCCTGAACTATGGGAAGTCTTGTAAATTCCTTATTCTGGGTAATGCAGGAGTTATATCATCCTAAACTATGGGAATTATGGTGTATTCCCTATTATGGGTAATGCAGGATTTATATCATCAACCGAAGTACTCTCAAACGCGTCGGCGAGCCCCATGGTCTGCTCAGGGTTCTGGGGTTTTGTTTTCTTATCGGAAGAGCTGCTGGGGTGAGCACATAAGTTACAGGTAGAGCGGATAACTGAGAGATCCCGCAACATGTTCGAAGAATTGCAGTAGCCAGGATAACTTGCCAGAATTGAGGAGGTCTATGAAGGTTTGCAGTCACTACTACCTTGTAAATTCAACCCTAAACCATAAACCCGGAAGCCTTAAACCCGAAACCTTCCTGGTTCTGCATGAGCAGGTGCAACACAGACGGCAAGGAGTGCATGAGACACTGACGCTCGGCTTAACGACGGACGGCAATGGCTGAGGCTTCAGTCTCGAGGCTTGAATGTTATTCAACAGGTTTCCGCTGATTACCCCTTCTACTGTAGCTCATGTGCTGGAGTTTCCGAAAATAGGGGGCCCCAATATAGTACCCTAAATAGTAGGATCCTTAGTATAAGGACCCCCAAATAAGCTACCCCTAATTTTCGGAAACTCGAAACTCCCATGTAACTTTACGGCGGCATGTCCGGAAACCCGATCCTGGATGCCAGGCCCATGTATTAGGGCTACGGCTGTAGTTGACGAAGGACCCGAACCGCCGTGAAGCTCCAGAGTAGGCGTAAAGTTTTAAAGGGCTTCGCAGAAGAGGGGGCAGGTGTCTTGATATTTCAAGTACCTCATAACTACACTCTAACTAAGCTATGACTATTCATAACTATATTAGAGCCGACCCTCGTAGATCCCCGAGAAGGTCTCGTAGTCTTGCAAACCCTTATCTAGGATGCCCAGTAGTACCCTTATTCCTTTTTCGTAGTCCTAGGTTCCTTATAAAGTTACCCAATACCAAAAAGAGATGCCCCTTTGTTCTTAGGTTACTGGGTATCCTAGTTATAGACCCTAAACCCTAAACCCTTATAGAATCCTGTACAAAGACCCTGAGGTTTGGAGACCGTCTCTGGGCAGAATCGGGGGTGCTGGCATGCCAAGTCGCTGACTCGCAGCCAGAGGTTTCGGGTCTAGGGGTTAGGGTTTAGGGTTTAGGGTTTAGTGAGGGGGGTTAGGGGTTTAGGGGTTTAGGGTTTAGGGGTTTAGGGTTTAGGGCAGCCAGAGGTTTACAGTAGAAGCCCAAAAAGTTGGAAGCCCAATAGCCTCAACCCCTAAGTGCAAAGTATAGGGAATCCCAGCACGATTTGTCCTGAATTAGGTTTCCAACTTTTTGGAGTTTACTATAGGGGTTTAGGGTTTAGGGTTGTATGGATTGAATGTCAAGGTTTGGGGGCTTTAGGGGGTTTATGGCTTTAGGGTCAGGGGTTTGGGGGCCAATGCTTTGGGGTCAAGCGTTTTGTTTGATGTTTGTTGCTTTGAATGGCTTTAGGGGCTCTAGGGTTACAATAAGGGTTCCAGAAATTCAGGGTCACGACATTTCTCTGCAGGTTTGGCGTTATGGTTTTATTTATCTTTTTTGGAAAGGGGGTGGCAGGTATTAGCAAGGCTTTGGGGCTTAGGGTTCGATACGGGGTCGGTGACTAGTTCTTTTAGAGACTTGTATCTACTATAACCCCAATCAGGATCCTTTTTAGGGTACCTATGTCTCTACTAATTGCCGACTTACTAAGCCCCACGACCCTCGAAGTAGAAGTTTAGTCGTTTACGGCTTAAGGCTGAATGTTTCTCAAGCCTTGCCCGACTGGGCGGGGTGAAGTGGGGGCACTTGGAGGATCATGGGACTTAGTAAGTAGGGTTGTATATAAGTACCCTAATTGGGGGTAGAAGCAGTTATGAGTATAGTTACCCTAATTATAACCCTAGTTACTAAGTCCCATGTCCCTTTAAGTAGACCCTAAACCCTAAACATTATAGATCCCTTTAAGGGAAACCCCTATAGATCCCTTTAAAGGGACCCTTAAATGCCCCGGTTTGGGTAGGGTTGAGGGTTTACAACGGTTTGGGATTCCAGGTTCCGGGTTGCCAAGGATTCAAGGTCTGGGGAAGACCCAAACCCAAAAGGGGAACAGGAGGGACCCGTAATGGGGACCCCTACCCTATAATGGGCTATATTAATATAATTTTTTATAGCTATATTAAGGGTATATACCTAGGGGTCCTTATTAAGGGTCCCTCCTTTTACCCTTGGATAAAACCCCAAGCCCAAGATCCGAAGCAGCGGGCTCTTAGTCTCTTAGTAGATCGATTGATTCGTGAGCTTTGTTGTTCGATTGTTTTTTTCCTGGGCTTTGGAGCACCATGCTTTAATACTTTTTTTAAGGGGAACCATTATGAAAAAAAATGTTTTTTCTCCCTGGTTACTTATAAGCCCAGTTTTTGCAACTCAAGCCTAAGCAGCTTCTCAACGTAGCTGTCGGAATCATCGGTAGTACTATCCCCTTATAGCCCCGAGCTGAATCAGAGTATACTGTGTGCCACAAAAGCCATTCGTTTATGAAGGCCCCCATGTTAAAGGTGTTTGGGCTCACGAGCTGGACAGGCATCGGATTTAGAGGAGGCTTCCAAGCAAGATCAAGCCTAAACCCCAGCAGGCCAACACGGAGGCTTTTAAGTTAGGCTCTCACAAGAAGAAGACCTAGGGTCCTCTTTGATTTGGGGCTCCCTTATGAAAACAACACTGAACCCTAAACCGAGATTTAGGGAAACAAGTGTAAACATGCAACCAAAAGCGCACCAATCTACAGCCTTGCACACGAGTTTCCTGAATTGCCCAAACCCAAGTACCGTCCCAGGAACATCCTCACCGAATCGCAGTGGAAGAAGGAGCGGTGTAACGGAGGTTCTAGCACCTGCAGGGTTTAGGTCTAGGTTTTGGGGGCTTTAGGATTTAGGATGTCGGTTTTCAGTGCTTTTCAGGGTTTAGGGTGTTCGGGTTATCATTAGGTTTTCTCACCTTATCATGCTGGTTTCTCACCTTATCATTTGGCTTCATCACTTTACTCATATGCTTCATGTAAACATTCTCGCAGGCCCAGGCCCTGAACGAAAAAGACTTGGATGCGGATATCAAAGCCTACTCCATGAAAACCGTGCAGGCGAGCAAAGCCAAGGGCTTGCCCAGGCCGCGAGTCTGTGGAGAGTCCACGGCCAAGATGCACTGGTATCAGTTCCGCAGCTTCGCAGGCTTCATGAAGAAGCAGGGCCTGGTCGAGGACTTCTCGAACCCCGCCAACCTCCTCAAGGACAAGAAGCTCCTGGACAGCTTCTACCAGCAAGAACACGAAGTTTAGGTCTTGGGGTCTGGTGGTTTTTACGGTTTCAGGGTTTAGTGGATCAGGTGGGGTTGGCTTGTTCGTTTTGGGTCGGCACCTGCTTACTAGGCCAGCCTGCCCCCTCTGGTCAAGAATCAGGAACTGGCAAAACCCGAACAACCCAGCTGTGAACCTCTTTGAAGGTCGGAAGAGCCAGACCCGGATCTTGGAGTATATGCTAGAGTACAAATTTTCATAGGGAACTACCACGGCCATTATGAAGTATGTAGACCTTGATTGCGCTCTACTCACAAACTCTCCGCGGGCACCTCGCACACTCAACTTATCGCTAGCTCACGGTTTCTCGCTTCACTCCGCATTCACTTGGTTGAACGGTGGCTCACCTAAGTGTACCATACTGCTGCAGCGAAGCTACTCTGTGGAACTTGTGCGTGCCACTCGGTCACACATCACACCATCAGTTCACTCCGCACTCAGTCTCGCCTTTTGCTTCCACAGTGAAAGTACGACTTCTCGCGAGCAGTTGCAGAATCAAGGAGGGGGGCATGAGGAGACCCAGTGGTGAGGAGTTAGGATCATTGGATTTAGGGATTACCCACAGGCTCCATAGTAGTTCCTTTTGGGGGTTCATATATAGAATCCTATTAGGTAATCCCCAAAAGCAACTACTAGGTGCCTGTGGGTAAGTTTCTTATTTGAGGGCCAAAGGTTGAAGGTTCGGGGTTCAGGGTTTGGGTTCAGTCCTCAGGGTTTAGGGTGTAGGGTCCACGTTCTATGGTTCAGAGTTGTTGGGTTTAGATGGTTTTAGGTGTTCGGGGTTTTTTGTGTTTTATACAAGGCTTTAGGGTTTAAAGGGGGTCGGGGCAATTAAAAAAGATCCCAAAGGACAACCCAGAATACTATAGGCCCGAAACAAACAAGAATCGGCGGGCTTCCTGTGGGCTTGACAAGGACTGTAGGGTTGACCTTTCTTGACATTGAATAGTCTTTGTTTCAAAGGGCAAAAGGAGGGACCCTTAATAAGGACCCCTAGGTATATACCCTTAATATAGCTATTATATACCCATTTTATAGCCCATTATAGGGTAGGGGTCCCCATGAAGGGTCCCTCCTTTTCCCCTTTGATTGTTCTTCCCTAGCCAGGAGCCCTAAACCTTGGAGGCCCTGAGCCCTCAAAAGCCGAAACCCTCAAGCCCTACCCATGGGGCCCCTAGTAGTTCCTTTTTGGGGCTCATACTTAGAAGCTTATGAGGTAATCCCAAAAAGGAACTACCATGGGGGCTCTGGCTACATCCAATTCCCGGGATTCTCGGCTTAAGGGCTCAAAGCTTGTTCCTCAGAAGTTTGATTGTCGGGTCTTGCGGCGTCAGGTCTAGGATGTAGCCCCAAGGGTCCAAGTACCTAATAATCATATACCCACCGAAATCCTAACCTACATAACTACTATCCTAGTACCGAGTACCTGATTATTGGGTGCTTTGGACCCTTGGGGTAGGTCGGAGCCCTGAACCTTAAGACAACACCATCATCCCATTCTCCCCAACCCTGACTGCACAGAACCCTGTAAGCTTCCAGAAGCCGAACGCTTTCAGCCTGCAGCCCATATAAAACTGCGACAAAACCCGTAATATGGGTAATTACCTATACTAATTTGCTGGGCTCCTTGTTTTGAATTGTAGTATAATGGGCCCCCAAACCCTACTCTAATCATTGAGGCCCCTACATTAAAGAGCCCTTCTAAACGCCAAAACTCTAAACCCATCGCCAAATCCCTGAAAGAGCGAGGACTGCGAAGGCTGGGTGGCGAGAGGTGCAAAGTTCGTGGCCAGGAGGCACCTCGCCAGCGCTTAAAATTCATCTCGATACCCTAGGCTCCATAGCTCCTTTTGGGGGTTCACATGTATAGATTCCTATAAGGTAATCCCAAAAGGAACTATGGTTACTATGGAGCATAACGATATGGGTTGCAAAACAGGCGGTCGGGTGGTATGGTTTCTACAGCGGTTTCACAAAGGCGCTATAGGCGATAGGCCTCTTACAATGGGGTTTTCAAGGACATTCTGAAGGCTTCAGCGGTTTCAGAACGGCATTTTAGGCTCCTCGTTGTTGGGTTTCCACTGGGAGTGTACAGGCTTCAAAGGTGCTTCGTAAATTCTTTCTCTGGGTTCAGGCTTGAGGGTAGTAAGGTTTCGGGTTTGGGTTTAGTGCTCATGGGCTTCGAGTTATCCAGGGGCTAGCCTCTAATTCTTAGATAAAGTATCCCAAGTAACGACCCTCCTCGCGCTATTATGTCTGTACTTAAAGAATTGCCTATAGTCTCCGTTGTAGTTCCTTTTTGGGCTACCTTACAGGATCCTTATTATGAGATTGGTTAAACCCAAAAAAGGAAACCCTAAACCCCTAAACCCTAAACCCTGAACCCTGAACCCTAAACCCTAAACCCTAGGTGTTGCATGCATGCGAATACCTTCCAAGTCGGGGTGGACCATGGGAATTCGGCCTTTGGGCTCGAGTGCTGAGTGTTTTTTTAAGGGTAAAAGGAGGGACCCTTAATAAGGACCTCTAGGTAGATACCCTTAATACAGCTATTATATACCCACTATATAGCCCATTATAGGTAGATATCCTGAATATAGCTGTTAAATACCCATAATATGGCCCAGTATAGGGTAGGGGTCCCCCTTCAGGGTCCCTCCTTTTCCCCTTTGAGTGTTCAGGCTTACAGTTCTGCCCTTAGGGTGCAGGCGTGGAGGTCAGGTTGTCAAGTAACTACAGCAAGCCCTGTTTACGCTGAATCCCATTGCCCAGAGCCTTATACCCCCAAACGGTAGGGCTTGAGGCCCGCAACAATACTTCAATCACTCCCAGTGGATATTGGTATCTTACACCCTAATTGGTAGTTCGGGCCAGGTCTAAATAGTCCGGAGGTTGATGTAGAGCTCAACATCTGTAAGTGCAATCTGGGTCTTCGCAGGGTACAGTGCTGAGGGTCCTTCAGGAATATGGTTGGGGGAGAGTCTTGTACTGCACGGCTTCGGGTTTAGGGTTTAGAGTGTATTCTTACCAGCAAAATGAAAGAAGTCTGGTACCGATCATTCAGACCTCTATATGACCTGAACTAAACAGAAGGTAAATAACAACGCCTTTGGTACTTCGGAGCCCACTGTGTTGGAAGTTTCGGTTGCTGTGATTCGCAATACAGGGTGTCTTATCCCAAGTATGCTTAACATACTCCCACATCCTATTCTAATTAGGAAGGCGTTTTATTGGCAGCCTAGCCCGATGTTTGCGGTCGACGAGGCAATTAAGATCACTATTCCCGGCTCAAACGACGGCCGGTACTTGTTTTTTGGGGATTGTTTGCATTTGGCCCTTCAGGGAGTGCGGCATACCCTTAAACCCTATACCCTAAACCCTATAAACCCTAAACCCTATACCTTAACCGTGGCCGCTATATCAAGCAGGGGAGCACATCACCGTAAACTCAATCCCCGAAGTTCAAGACCGCCAACCCCGGAACCCTGAACTACGGTTGATGCTATAAATCCTGCATGACCCATTATAACGAATATACCATAATGCCCATAGTTTAGGGTCCTTAAGGTAATGCAGGATTTATATCATCAACAGTAGTCAGGGGTCTACTGTAGGGGCCTTAATATTTACGATAGGGTTTTGGAGGGTTCCTTATTATAATTATAGTATGATACCCCCAAGCCCTATTCTAATTTGTTGAGGCCCTTGCATCACATTAGCTTTCAGCCTTGAGCACAAAGCCCCCCAAGCTCCACAGCAAAGGCTCGCAACTTGGATGGGCGGTGCCACGGAATCAAAAAACTCCCGCGCACCTTTGCGATGATGTTGGAACCACTGTTCAAGATTCAGGGTATTATGCCGCGACTTGTGGGTTAGTAAGCCCAATAGCACAAATTCCTGCGCCAAATGCTCGTGAAAGCCTGTACTTTCTAGGTGGTCATCATCCATCTCTTCTTCTTGTAGACAATGGATACTGTAGTGGTCTCAATCATTACCAAAACTTTCTTTTGGGGGGTGTCCTTATAAAACTAAGTATAATGGGCCCTATTCTAGCTACTAAGGCCCTTATAGTCTCAGATCTCCAAAACCTTTAAACTTTTTTGGTTCTTGTAGTTTAGTAGGATTTTGAAAGTTTGACCTCTGATTTCTGTGGGTCATTGGAGGAGTAAGTAGTAGTGTCTTCTTGAAACATGGATGCACACTTCTGTTCCGGTACTCGACCTCGAACAGTCGCTTCCCAAAAGCCTCAGCCATAAATTAAAATGTTGGCAATCGACCCTAGACACTAGGTTTAGGGCTTTTGGGCTTTCGGGTTTAGGGTTTTATCGTTTTGGGAGCCTTAAACCCCACAACACTATATATGCCACGATAGGTTTTAACCGATCCCCCGAAGGATCCAAGTACCTAATCATCATATAATCTCCCAAATATGAGCCCACATAACTACGATCCCCCATATACCTTATTAAAGTATAATAGGATCCCTAATATGATTTATGGTATTCTCCGTAATGAGACCCGATCCCTCCAAGGACCTCATAATAAGTGCCCTAGACCCCTTGAGGACCCCCCTGGAGGCATAGGGAGATTATGTTGGATTTCATTAAGTTTAGCTTATTTTGGGGTTTCACGAATATGCCTTAAATTAGAATAGGATGACTAATATGATTTAAGGTATTTTCCTTAATTAGGTTGTTGTTGTTTTTTTAGTTAGGGCCTTGGGGATCTGAGAAGCCCCCAAGCCTGCCTGGAAGCCCAGAGCTCGAAACCCCGTGCGCGCGACGACATAATCGGTGTAGGGTTTGGGGTTTAGGGTGAGTTTAGGGTTTAGGGTTTAGGGTGGGTTTGGGGCTTAGGGTTTGGGGTGGGTTTAGGGTTTAGGGTGTAGGGTTTAGGGTATTTGGAGGGTCGGGGACCTTAGTAAGTAGGTAAAAAGCAGACTTTCTAAGTACCCCAAAACGGATCCTAATTGGGGTTATGGTACTTATAAGTCTCTAAAATATCTACTTACTATGTCAGCGGACCCTCCAAGTAGTCGAATTATCAAAGCTCCCTTATTACTTTCTTCTTCAACAACCGGGCCCCCAAAAGTTCAAACTTTCTGTTGTAGACCAAATGAATCACCATAAGGTTTGAGCTAAAGTTCTTCCAGTGGCCCTTAAATCTTAAACCCCCCCAAAGACTGGGGCATATTATACTGTAAGTATACTAAGGAACTGCATAACTATATTGGTGAGTCTTTAGGCCCATAAAATGGACAGACAAATAAATGGTAAATCTTTTAAACCAGTGATGAAATGGAGCAAGTAGGTGTAGGTATATGTGTATATATATGTACATATATAGGTCTATAGAGTTCACTCAACTGCCTTTGCCGTGAGCTGCGATCTGGTCAGGGAGTTATACTCGTCCTTGCAGGTCTCATGGCAACCTAAACCAGGACCCCCCCCCCAATTGCAGCCTTTACCTAAGCCCTATAACCCTAAACCCTTAAAGGAACCCTTAAACAAGTCCCTAAGGACATTAGTGGGGGGGGGGAGGGCCCTTTCATAGAGCCCTTCGGGTCCTTCATAGTGGGTATTTAGGGTATATTTTGGAGGGCTGTTGGTGGTCCAGGAGCACTGTGGCCTTGTCACAGGTCCATATGGGAGTTTCTGAGAATTGTGGGTGCATTATTCTGGGATCTGTATAATAAGGATCCTACTGCTTAAGGTACTATATTAGGGTCCTCTACTTGCGGAAAGTCCCATATTCCGAGTTCCTAGTACAAGTCCTTAAGAAGGTACGTTTTGGTGCTAAGGTCGGGTTTAGGTTTTCGGGTTTAGGGTTTAGGGTTCAGGTTTTAGGGTCTATTGCACCTGTGACATTTCGTTCTTTCGGGTTCTGAGCTCTAGTTCATGTCTCGGGCCTCTCTGAACTTCCCAATCCGAGACCCTCAATCGGTTTAGGGGCTTAGGTTCAGGGGGTTCAATGGATTTCAGTGTCCTCATGCCTATAGAGACGGAAACTTAAACCATAAACTGTGCCGCACTACGGCTCCAGCGCTGCACAGAGCAAATACAAGGCTTTGGGGAGGTGAGTGATTTTTTCCGCAAGTCTACATCTTCAGAGCCTTAGCCGCTGTGCGGGGGTGCATGGGATGTCTAGACCTGAGTGTCAAAGGGTCAAAGGAGGGACCCCTAAAAAAGGACCCCCAGGTATATACCCTTAATATAGCTAGTATATACCCAATATATAGCCCATTATAGGGTAGGGGTCCCCATTAAGGGTCCCTCCTTTTCCCCCTTTGATTCTGGGAGTCTTAGGGATTTCAGAACCTTCTGACTGGTCTTTCGGGGTGAAGCCGGCTGACCTTAGCCAAGGTCACGTTGCTGTATCGGAAGTTCAATGCAAAGTTGCAGCTTGGCGAGGGTAAACAGGGAGGTTCATGGGCAGTTATAAGTGGGGTTAGACGTCCCCTAATATGGGCGAAAACTAGAGTAATCCCCAGTTATAACTACCCATGAACCTCCAAGTAGGGTCTAGGATGAAGGCGACGCTTTTGTCCGAAAGGCTTTCACCCAATTGAATCGAATCCTGCTTGGCTATTTATTGACATTTTAATGGTAGAGACAGGTTATAAGCCGGGGGTATAGTACCCTACTTGGGAGAAACTGATCTATTACCTCACGTTTAGCCGCATGCTACTGAAGTGGAATACTACTTGACTTGGAGGCAGCAGGTTTTTCTGAGGGTATAGGGTTTACGTTTTAATCTTGTCGTTCATAGAATCGCGGTTCAGACTCAGGTGCTTTTGGGTTTAAAGTAATTATCCGTGTCTTCATGACCTGATATCCGCAAAAATGGTCTTGTCAACGTGTCTACTTCTTGCACCTGTCCCGCATTGACATCGTCTGAGGGAGCTTTTGCAGGACTGCCTTAAAACCCAACAAGAATCTTCCAACCCGAAAGCCCTGAAGCCTAAACTCTAAACCCTCCTGTACCCAGACGGTCCAAGTACATACCCATGTATCATTCATACTCTGGTTGATTTCGGCTGGTTCTCCTTGGGTTTCTTGGAACCTAAAACCCTGTCATTTCTTTTGGACCCTCTGGGGAGATGATATGGGAGCCAGGATTCTCGTAGGCATAATCGTCGTCGAGATTGACGACTTGCCGTGCTTTGGACAACGCTGAGAACGAGAGGAGGCTGCAACGACTCGAACAGCGTACGCCCTATACCCCAGTTCATTTAAGTCAAGAAAGAACAGATAGAACCTTAGGTGAACCTCTGTGGGTTCGGCCAAGGAAGGATGTGAAAGTCCGCGCCGATGTCTACATCTTCCGAACGCGCTCGCTCAGTGAGGTCGTGAACAAGGCAGGCAGGGGGTGGAAGTTGAGGCTTGGGGTTGAGCGCTTGTTCAGAAGGGTTATACTAAACAAGCCTAACCCCCCCCCCCGGTTTTGCGGGCCTTAGTGTGTGTAGGAGGGTCATATTAAGCCATCGCATTTAGGGGCCTTAGTACTCTGATACCTATTGACCTTTTGTAGCGGCTGGGGTTCCGCTTGACATGGATCAAGGGTCCTGTGGCTTAGGGGCTTGCATTCCCTGTGGAGCCTCTCGAATCTACAGTGGGTCTCTGCCCGCTAGACGGATGAAGAAGCCAGCCATCCTGAACAACCAACTCTTCAAACAACAGCTGTTTGTACAGTAAACCCCATAAAGTTGGAAACCCCATAGCCTCAGTCCTCACGAGTAATGTACAGGGAATCCCAGCACTATTTGGCCTTACTCCGATTTCCAACTTTATGGAGTTTACTGTAGAGTGCCACAGCCTGACCTGCTCAGGTTCTTGAACAACAGCAACCGCATCAAATGGTCCCTAAGGGTCCATGTGCCCAAATAGTATATACTTTGGACTCAAAGTAGTCTCTATATAGGTACTTTGGGGCTTAAGTATATACTATTTGGGTACATGGACCCTTAGGGTCTGACATGAAAACCCCAAACCACAATTATTTGCGTCTCCAAGCTTTGGGCGGATGAGGTTTGGGTGTCAGGACTTGAATTTGTGTTTTTTCACTGTGGTAGTACCTTTTTGGATAACCCGTTTTATGGTTTCAATCCTACCAGATGAAAACAAGGCGAACAACATGGGGTGCTACATGTTATAGGGTCTACGTAGGGTTGCGTCTGGGCTTGTCTTCTCGTCACCCTGCACCCAGAACTCCAAACTCCTCACCCGAAGAGAGTGCATGCAGCAGGATGAGGAGACGAAGGAGGACGAGTCCAAAAGCACGCTGGCAAGGAGTTTCAGGGCGGGGCGGTGATGCTTGATGCGGGTGCGAGTAGTGAAAGCTTGTAGCACCAGCAGCAACAACACGATTATCAACGGCAGTAACAACAGCATGAAAGGAACGAAGTTCTAGGCACGTAGGTTTAGCCTTCTAGCATCACGTTTGGTTTAACCTGGTTTCAACAAGTTTGAGTTGAACGGCTTAAACACGGTTAAACATTGCTGGTGAGAGGATTGCACAATTGCGGTTAAACACGTATGTTTACACAGTTCGCCTGATGCTTAGTTTGATGGGTTCAAGCAAGTTCAAGCGATGTAAACATGACTGACTCGTCAGAGGTTTGCCTCAGTGTAACCATGTCACGTTTAAACATTGGTGTGTCTAAACATTTTGTCATCGACTGAGGGCTCTAGGAAGGCTTATAGTCTGAGCAGGCTTGCGGTTACCATTGCGGTTCAGTGTTTAGGGCTTGTGGGGTAAGTTAGGGCTGTTGGGGTTTAGGGTTCTACGGTGAGGGTTCTTTTGGATTGAAGGTTTGGATAGGGCTCAGGATATGGCAATAAGACGCGGTTGCAACAGCCAGATGAGGATTTGCTTCAGCATGTTTGCGAATGCATTGAAGTCGTTGAGGGAGATGCCTGGTACGCGCAGCAGAATGGCTTGCAAATGTTCGTGGAGAAGCTGCCGAATATTCGGTTCCGCTTGCTGGACTCAACCCACGCAACAGAAGGACCGGGTGCACTGCATTAGCAGGCTGCGATTGCCGGCTGAGCACTGATGAAGTTTGCAGTTTAGTCCATATTCCAGGCTGGACTACTCGACGTTGGCGCGAGGACCCCGTCGCAATGGCGCCATGCAGCAAGGTGGCCTGGACGCCCCCAGCGAACACCCAGTATGACAAATTCTTTCCTGTTTTGGGGGCCAGCTCCTCTGAGCGACTGCGCTGCCCCTGCATCTGGAGACTGTGTAGAGGGATCCAAGATGATCCAAGCATTGTAGGGGTTCCCTCTGATCAGAGGTGCCGTCCCTCTATACAGTGGAAACAGGAACTGTATTTAGAGGGAGCCGACAATGCAACAGGTCCTTTAGGATCCTACCACATCAGCCTAGACCACAAAAACGCATCCGTAAGTCCAGAATCCCTGAACCCTGAACCCGCCTAAACTCCCATAAACACCTGAAGGCCCGGCGCCTTAAATCCAAAGCCCAAAGCCCTAAACCCAGCATGCTCGACGCACACGAAATTACACAGCCTCGTAAGTTGGGCTTCGGACAACCCTAAACCCGAAGTCCCTACTCCCTAAATCCTAAACTCTGAACCCTAAGTTGGGCAGGACTTTAGATGGGGCTTTTGGTGGGCTCAGTAAAGCTCTGGTGCCTCGGCTGCAGGTTTTTGCTTTGGAGACTAGTTACAAGCATTGCTAATTTTCGAGTGGGTTTGGGATTTAGGGAATGGGGGGTTCAGGGTTTTGAGTATGCTTTAACTTTCCAGTGGCTTCCGTAGGAGTGGTACAAACTTCTGAGAACAATTTGCAATCGGACCAACGATTCTTAAGTGTTTTGAGTTTTGGGTCGTCAGGATTGACCTGGAGCTCTTGCAAGCTCCTGAAGGATTTGAGGATTTAGTGTTTAGTCCTTGCTGATGTTTTCCAGTCGGTTCCGTAGGGGTGGTGCAAACCTCTCAGAGCAGTTTGCGGGTTAGATAGAGATGAACGGCACCCCCTACGACGGTTGGACCAACCGTTGTTAGGTGTTTCGAGTTTTGAGTCGTGAGGACTGACCTGGAGTTCTTGAATGCTCTTGAAGGATTTGGAGGTTTAGTGTTCAAGCGCTCAAGAGCACTGGGTCATTAACTTGATTTCTTTTGGGGGTTGAACGGCTTAGGCGGTGTAGGGTATAGGGTTATTATTACCGTGGCTATTTGTTGAGGTTTATGGTGCAGTGATTTTCTTGCCATCGTTATGCTATAATGCCCACTCTCGGGCTTATGATCTACCCTCAGGCCCCATGGTAGTTCCTTTTGGGGATTACCTTATAGGGTTCCAAAGATGAAAGACAAAAAGGAACTACTAGGGTAGAGGCAAAGTTCACCAGTTTCGGAGGTTAATTGCGAGGGTCGGTTTAGGGCATCGGGGCCCTATTCCCGGCATTATCGTTGTCTTGCTCTTATCCTCGCTGGCACTATCACTTGTGGCTGTAAACCCTATACCTTAAATCCTAAACCCTTAACCCTGAACTCTCTCTCTCTCTCTCTCTCGCCTGCGAACGATCCCAGAGGGCAACCGAGCAGTGACAAGACAGCCTTTTGGCGGTTTAGTATCATGGGCCAAATATTATAATCGACTTTTGCCTTATTTACAGTTTCAGCACCAAAGTATACACTGCTTGGGTACAAGGTAACATATGCAAGTTACATTGCACACGCCCAGAGAGCTGCAAGTCTTGAAGCCCAATCACACTGCAGCGGGACTGTCCATCCCAGAATGTTATCGCACATCCGGTCGCGGCTACGAACACCCAGAAGGAGCTCATCGAGAAGTGCCTCGATGGGGAATATGCGGGAGTGTTGGGAATATTTGGAGGGAGGCTTGGGGCATGCTGGGAATGGTCTGAAAACTGTTGCAAGTCCTTGTGACTACACGTAACAGTTGTAGGACGGACTTGGTTCTACGGGAGGCTCCGTGGATGGTTTCTTGGCCGGAGTCTTTATCTATAAGTATTTGTCGTACATCCTAAACCTAAACCCTGTGCCGCAATCAAACAGACAGTCTAAGTAAGCTCCGAAAACCTAATCCCAAAGTGGTGTAGGCAAGCCAGGCAAGGTTCTGAACTTCAGGGATAGATGTGCGGGATTGCAGGGGTGGCATGTGGGGCGTGCTTGGGTAGTTGTACCGGGGTTCTTCCTAGGGAAACCACTACTAGGGGACTGACCCTAAGTATAATTACCCATGAACATCCATAGGTGTGGCGGGGGATGGTTGGGGCCTGTCTGGAAGGTGTCCTGAGTTCGAAACAATTTTGCTTTACCTTTCCAGGTATGCGTGGGGGCCGAACTTGCCACTTCAAAGACCCGATTCTGCAACAGTACCACAGGCAATCAGAGCTCCGGTTTCAGGGCTTAGCGCTCGCGCACGAACGCCTCCCAACCCGAAATGCCAAAACCCTGCAGCCTCAAGGTACCAATTCAATTTGCAGCCGAAAAAGTTTCCCAACGGCACGGCGCGAATCTCAGGGGCATGCCGAAATGAGGGATTCCTAGGCTTAGCGGCTGGAGGCAGTTTTGAAGTCATCGGTGGAAGGTGCAGGGGTTTTGGGTGTTGGGCTTGTTCTTGCGGTTTGTGTTCAGGGCGATAGCTGTCACTTGAGTTTCTGAACTTGTAGACCCCGCACCCTAGACTGAACGTGGCTGTGTTTGCGGGGACTGGGGAACCCTAGAAACCCAACCCGGAACTTAACCCCAAATCTCTAGACCCCAAGCGCCCAAACCTTTAAGCTAAAGCCCTAAGCCAACGTTCGACACCCCGTACCAGGAAGCACGATTCCACAAATCCTAAACCATCAACCCTAAACCCCTAAAGTTAAACAGGCTGCGAAGCAGGGGCTTCTCAAAGCCAAGACCCTAAGCCCTACCTGGACCCTATAACACCGACTTCTTCAAGGAACCTTCTTATGAATTTCCTTATGTAAGTCCTGAAACAGGTAGGTCGTTGGGGGTTGACGTAAAACCTAACCCCGTAAACTCCTGCTTAACCCTGAAACTCTAAACCCCTACACTGCACACCCCTAAACCCTAAATACCCTGCGCTAACCCATACTTGGAGCTTCGGGGCATGGTAACAAGCATATAGTCTTACAAATCAGTACCGCAATAGTTATCCTGGTTGGGATTATACCCTAATGCTCCGGGACCCCCTCAGTCAGATCCCAAACCTGAGCCCCCAGAGCCCGAACCCCTCCCCCGGAAAGCCCATGACCCCTTTCGGAGCCTTAGGGCCTAAACCCTAAACCCCTAAACCCTAAACCCCTAAACCCTAAACCCCCAAACCCTAAACCCTGAACCCTAAACCATTACTTAGAACGTAACTAGATACTAAGTCCCGGAACTTCAGACCCAGAGGCTCCACATATACTACAATTGTGGAATTCGGTCCTTAACGCCCTAATAAGACTGGTTGTTTGGGACCCAATTCCATAATGGTAGTATGCATGGAGCCTCTAGGAAAGTAAGCTCAGGGAGCCCTAAACCTCAAACCTTAAGCCCCAAGCCCTAAACCGCTATCCAGGTCGAAGGCTACGAGCTGGTGACATGCAGCCAGTTCACTTGGGATGAACAGGCCGAGGACAGGGGGTACAGCTGAGAGTTGTTGGGGTTTCGGCTTTGGGGTTAAGGGATTAGTTTTTTTTTCGGCTAGGGGGCTGAGGGTCACCTCGCGGTTGGGCGTTTCTGTGGGGTTTAGTCCCTGACAACATACAGTAGTTCTAAGGTCCCTCACAAGGGTGCCATACTACGTGGGGGGACCTAAAACGGGATATTGCTTTAGAGAACTGCCCAATATAAAACATTTGTACGTTTTCTTTAGGGGTTCCTTCTTATGCCCGCATAATTAGCACGAGCAAGGGCACGCTTCTTATTCAGGGGGATACTGAGAAACCCAGAAAGTTCATGTTGCCGTTGCCGCAAGAAGCAAAGCAACGTTGTTCAAGTGCTACCTACCCTTACTATGTTGACTTAAAGCTGCTTCCCTTCCGAAGAACTAGGCTAAAAGCTCCTCGAACCCCTTACAGCACCCGTCGAAACATGCACCTCAAATTTCCTCAACAAAGAAGTTACAAGCAAGCAAGCATGAAGCTTCCTGAATCCCCACACGATAAACCCTACTTGGAGGTTCATGGGTAGTTATAAGTGGGGTTACAAGTCTCCTAATATGGATTATAAGTGTATAGTTGCCCCACTTATACCCCCACTTATAACCACCCATGAACCTCCAAGTAAACCCCCAGTCCCGAAGCAGCAAACCTAAGCCCTAAATACACGGTGCAGGACTACAGCCTTCCGCCGCTGAAGAAGTGCCAGTGGCTTGCTTGCCCTGGCTGTCCACTAAGCCCTGCACATAGCTGCAAAAAAACACCGTTTCAAAGTTCCTGATGATGGTATCTACTATAATTCCAGTGAAAAGGTAGGTTTTTTGAATTACAAGTACCTAATCCTAAGATGTAGCATTGGTCGTGAATCCCAGACCTCCAACAGACCACCTCGACCCTCAGAACAGCGTTATTCGTTGGGGATGCGTTTCTACAGTGCAGCTGGCCCTTCGGTCACCCGTTTCGACAACCTCTATGGTTTCTTGAAGAATGTAGCATTAACACTGACAACAACGAAGCCTAAACATTGAACCCTCAAGCCCGAGATGGCTTCACTGAGTCTGATGAAGTAGAGGTGCTCGTATATAAACCGTAAACAGTAAACCTGAATCCCCAAATAGCTTTGATGATTTATGAACAGCTCTCTTGGTTGTTGTTAGGCCGCGGGCACCAACGAAACGCCCTAAACACTACACCCCGCGGCACCAACGAAAACACTCAGACATCTTGTTACGTAAAGCGTTAGACTCCTTGGCACCAACGACGAACCCTAAGCCCCGAGCGCCAACGAAGCCGAGGAAAATTCGCATCGTGAACCTCGAGCTCCTCGTGCCTGGGTGCATTTTTGTATCTTCGGTCTATAGTCATTCTACTTGGAGGGTCAGGGGACTTAGCTACTTTGTATATACTTTTATAAGTAGCATGATGCCAATCAGCGTCGCCGTTAGAGTCCGCATAGGTTTACTTGTTTCCTACTTGCGAAGTTCCCCGACGCTTCAAGTTTATGTATCTTATGCCCCCAAGCCTTATTCTCTTCCTTACGGCACCTACTAGCATGTGCATTGTCCGACTCTGAAGCGCGCTGCGGTTGAAGGTTTATCGTTACCAGTTACCGTTTAGGGTTTACGTTTTGGGTTTAGTGTTTAAGGCTTAGGATTTAAAGGGCGATTGTGTCTGTGTGTGTGTGGCGTGTGTTTAGGAGTTTGAACGGTTCGGTGTTCTGGCCTTATAGAGCTTTTAGCTTAAGGTTCTGAGGACATGTGTTCAGGGCGCAATGTATGAATGTAACATCAACTACAAGCATCGAATCAGTAACAATAGCCTTTATTCCAGGATATTCGGAGTTTCTGTGTATCAGCAGGGGCAATCTCGCAGTCCTCTGTATTCAGGGGCCGAGGATCCCCCCACGGATGTGGTTTCGGTTGTTTTGATTTCCCGTGGAAAGGGTGAAAAGGTTTAGGGTTTAGGGTTTAGGGTTTCCTAAACCCGGAACTCTACCTATGAGTGGACGCATTGGGCGTGGCGGAAACTTTTGCCCCGAATACTTTCGCTCGACGGCAGTAAAGCCAAGACTCTCCATCGCGTGTAGGGTTTGGGGTTACTGGGAAATTCGACACGGTAGTCAGCAAACAACCAGGCAAATCAGCCCGACTACCTCGAAGTCGAGGACATTCCGGAATCAGAGAAGCGGAATCGATATTATGAACAGGGGCAGTAGGGGGCTAATATTGCTTATTTTCGGATCCCTACGTTGTGTTGGGGTTGGGCTCCGGGTACATAGCACCTAAACCCTGAAGCTTATGCCCGATGCACCGAAACTCGAAATGCCTCCTAATATCTTGAGCGAAGTTTTCAAAGGTAAATATCGAAAAATTAAGGGCTTTGGGGGTCCTTATCCTCAATCCCACTAGCACAAGACCAAGGAACTCAGTCGCTTTGATACTGGCACCCTGGCTCTCAGAGTGCGTGTACCCATATTTCATATTTTGGCCTGATAGCACTTAGCCCTTCGAAGGCAGCGTATACACAGTTTTAGTACACGTACCACTCATGGACCCTTATTGTAAATTGAGCTGCCGACTCAATGTCCAGAGCTGTGTCCTCCACCTGAACCATAAACTTCATAAGCCTTGAGCTCTCCACTGACAGGAGATTTCTTCGAAGCAAGATCAGGAAAAGGCCGTCACAGGCAGGGCTGCTTAGCTGCTTTGAGGGTTCAGGTTTTCGGGCGTCGCTGGCAGGGCTCCATACAGCCTATAGAAGCCAGGATGCTGCAGAAGAAGCCTGCGCTCCCTTAAGTGAGCGCCAATGTCTTCATGGTTGTTGTTTTGGGGTGCTCAAGAGGCGAACATAGGCGAGCCGAATAGAGCTTGCCACGTGACGGCAATGCAGCTTCTGAAGATAATCTGCAGTATAAAGTTAAAACGGCAGGACAGATTTCAAAAGGACATGTAAGTCGGAAGCCGAAAGTCACCCTTACAATCCTGGCTTGGACTCGAAACATTGCATACTTGGACTTTCTAACATGCCAGCAGGCCGATCGTCTTGGTAGTCTTCGTCGGGTTCGTTTGAGTTTAGTTTAAGTGTTTCTCTTGTTACGGCTCTACTAAGCAATGTCCCGACTCGAGCATGTAGGTCTCCTTCAGGGCCAAACTCATCGCAACTTGATTGATGCCAACGCAGAAAAGCTGCCAGGGAATCTAAACAAAGCGAAGGCAAGCAGGAGTACGGGGAGTTCTGATGAGGAATGACCGTGGGCTTCGTTGCAGTCTTTGCCGTCGTCGTTGCTGTGGCCGTGGTGTTTTCATTGGTCTTAGTAGCTCCAAACCCCTAAACCTTGCAGGAGCAGGAGCAGCGCCGCTATCACCCGTCCTAAACGTTTCATTTCAATGGCCCCAAGGCCCCAGGATTCAGCAGAGTGTAAAGGGTGCGGTTCGTTGTATTAGGTGTGCAAGTCTTCTTGCCCATCAGCGCCATTGGACCCCCGCAGACTTAAGACTTTGAGGTTTTAATATCCCGTGACGGTAAGTCCTTGAACCTTAACTCACCAGAGTCCATAATTTGACCTAGTAGGCCCGAAACTTTGAACCAGACCTTTCCAATGTAGCCGACTTACATCCAAGAAGATATTGAGAACATCAACCCGATCTCTGCGAAGGGAGTCCTGGAATCGTCCTCTCCATCGTGGCAAAGCTGGCTCGAATGATGCTCCTGGGTTCCAGGATATGCTGGAGTTTCATCGGTTCACGGTTTTTTTTGTAGGATTAAGGGCCCTGGAGTGTTTGCTTAAAGTGCCGTTACCTACTATCCAAGGTCGAAGTTCGAACCTTTGCCTTCTGACAAAACCCGAAGGGTCCATGTGCCCATAGAGTGTTTGCTCTGGGCTTAAGGCACTCCTTATATAGGTACTTTAATCCCAAAGTATATACCCTATAGCTACATGGACCCGTCGGGAAACAATGTTGGAAAAACGCTTGTTTGGCACCGTTGGTTTGGGAACCCAGGTTCGTGCGCTTCGCAGCTTCTCGGCCTGAGATGAGGGCAAGATTGTAGCACTGCAGGGTTGGGGTGTCTTACGGCCTGTGGGTACATGCAGGATAATATACGTCTCATAGCTTGCATCCTTCCCCGGCATCAGTAATTAAAGCAACAGGGAGATGTCTTAAATCTCTGAACCAAGAGACCTTGGCTCCCAAAGCACTAAGACCCTATACCCCCAAGCCTCAAATCGCCCCGGCTGTATGCCATACTATGACAATATTGTTTGAGTTTGTGTTGAAGACCTGGAGGGTGCAATATAGGGGCATTGAAGTTGTTTGTTTGCTTTTGGCATGTTTTTCTATTCTGTATGTATATATATATATATATATATATATATAGATATACATACTATCAGAATAACGGGACTATAGTAAGGGAATGCTAAATCATTTGCTAGTATGCTAAAGCCTTCTACTAATTCGTGATAGCATTCTTCGTTTCGTATAGCGAAGGTAGGGTATTTCTCCTTGGCTGTTTGATTTGTTCGTCATATCTTCCGAAACATGTAGCGAACCACAGCAATCTACAGATCACAAATGAGTGGCCTGAGCAATTCGTAGTACCATTTCGGGCTCATTACAAAGGAACCCACATAATTTCACAAGATCGTAGAGCCTAAACCCTAAACCCTAAACCGTGAGTCATCTCCCAGGTGAAGCTTCAAGTTCCTGACGACAAGGATGGCAGTCTGAAGTACTGCATCTGGGCTTCCATGAAGGATCAAACTCTTGGTCGCCCCAAAAGGAACAAGTAGTTCGTGGTTATGTTTTCTTACCCACCCAGGACCAAAAGTCCGATTATGAGGAGTACTTGGACCCTTAGGGCAGGTTACAAAGTAACGATGGCCCTACTGTGGTACCTCTTCTGTGGGGCCTTGTAATGAGGACTGTTCTATTTGGCCAGTACCTTGTAAAGCTAGAGGAGGTTTGGTGGTGGCATTCTAGAAGGCCTGCTGTTCAGATAGCCATTGTCGTAGGCATGTTGTTTGAGCTTAGATGAGCATTGCAAATAATAACATCAATGTCGCCGAAACCCTAAACCTTAAACCCTAAATCCTAAGCCCTAAACCCCTAAACCCCAATATAAACCCTAAACCGTGTCGATGGCAGCCCGAAGTTCTGCAAAACGGGCATTCTTGCTCTGGTTCGGTATAGGTGTTTTTTTTGTTTTTGAAGGGGTGGGGTGGTGCGTGGCTTGGGTTTAGGGCTTCGTGTTTAGGGTTTAAACGTTTAGGGTTCACCCTAGACCCGAAACCGTGAACTGGACATCTGCTTGCCTCACCTGCGTGCATGCTACTTATAGTCTCCATTGTAGTTCCTTTTTGTTTGGTTTAACCAAATATATACATAGGATCCTGCAAGGTAACCCCAAAAAGGAACTACAATGGAGACTATAGGTACTTATTCGAGGCTCGGCCTGGTCCAAATTCCGAAAACGCAACCCTAGGCCCTAGGCTTTAAAGGGATCTATAAGGGTTCCTTAAAGTATAAGGGTTCTATAAAGGGTTTAGGGTTTCCGAAAATTAGGGACTAGGATGCCCAGTAGTACCCTTATTCCGTTTTTGTAGTCCTAGGTTCCTTATTAAGGTACCCAATACCAAAAAGGGAGCCCTTTCTGTTCCTAGGTTGCTGGGCATCCAAGTAGGGCTTTAGGGTTTAGGGGGCAGTTCCTATAAGTTTAAGCCCAACTCACAAGTCCAACCGATCTAAGGCAAAGACATGTGGACGAAACGACCGCCGGGATTTGCTGAAAGCTGGCAATGTCGGTGGTTTAGGGGTGCACTTTCATCTTCAGAACTTCAGGGTGTCGGGATGTTATGCAGCAGTAGATGCACAGGTCTGCAAGGTGTTTAGGATTTAGGCGAAGGGGATGGTGTTAGGGGAGGATAGTTGGCATTCGAACTTCGTGAGCATGGATCTCTTGGCGCATAGAGCTACTGCAGCAGGTGCTGTTGCTGCAAGGACCACAACAACTACTGCAATTGCGAAGAACAGTTGACAAAGGAATCATGTCGAGATAAGAAGACTGCAACTACTTGCATAAGGATAGGTGTCCCAAATTCTGAGCTTTTCATATGCAGTAGCTGTGAGCGCCACTGACGATTATCCGCCATTTTATGAATGGCCGCCATAGCTCAGCAGTCTTTGGCTTGTAAGGTTCCGGCATCAGCGTTAATGTAGACCCCTGATCAGCAACCCTTCTGTCATTGAGAGACTGAATATTCTAGAATCCGTTTACAACCAGCACGGGGGTGGTGATTCATCATGGGGCTACACGGAGCCTCAATTTCTTAGTTTGGTTGGTAACTTTCTCAACAGAAAGCGCGAGTGGAGTCCCGCTTCCAGCAGGAAACAAGAAGGAGAAAGAGAAAGCCCTGGGTATACTGTGTAAAGCCAGCGACGTACTGACGAAGGACCCGGATGAGGCCGCGGTTCAGGGTTTGAGGCTTAACATGGGGTACCGAATAATCAGAATGGGGGCTTTGGGGCATATTATGCTGTAGTCTTTGGAAGGAAGGCAACTAAGCAGGCCCCTCAGCAGAGGCAAAATCGTCTGGCATAGTAAACATGGGATGTCACATACCTCTTGAAAGGGTGCGCCCGTATATATGTATTGCTAGCACATGGAAGCTCATTGAATCTGGGGAGCTCCGTTAATGCCGAAGTATGTTCTAAATTCATGGCAGATGCACTCGTATAAGTGGCTTCTTGCAGAATGTTTTGGCGTTCAGGGCTTCTGACACACGACATCTGGAGTATCACCGGAACCGAATGTCTTAGGGGTACTTAGAAAGGATTTTTAGTTTTGGGTTATTATAATTTGTAAGAAACAGCTAAAACTCTAATTTTCGCTAGGGTTCTAAGTTCAGTATAGCTGTGTCTGCCACCGATTACCTGCGTGCCGGCAGATCACGGGCTATAGGAGCAGCTGAGGACCGACGCACGTCAACACAAATTATGTTCCGATGTTGCAGTTGGCTGTGATACCACCTGCCTCGCTATTTTCATATATCCGCATTGGTAAATGTTTTTTCTGTCGGATTTCCCAGTCCTATGACCACTGCGATCACCGTGCTAGTGTATGTTACTGTTGACGGACAAAATCCTGCATTACCCATTATAAGGAATACACCATAGTTCCCATAGTTTAGAGTCCTTAGGGTCATGCAGGATTTTGTCCATCAGCAGTATTGAGGTTACTGAGGTCTATCAAAGGGTGTCTGGGGGGTGCCATGCTCGAGGTCTCTGGTTCAGTGGTTTAAAATTGTAGGCGCCCAAATAGGGCCCTACTGGAGCCCATGGCCTTCGAGTTGGGGGGGTGTAGTGGCTACTTGGAGGGTCGGGGGACTTAGTAAGTAGTGTTATAAGTACCCTAACTGGGGTTATAAGTAATTATAAGTATGGTTACCCTAGTTATAACCCGAGTTACTAAGTCCCATGATCCTTTAAGTAAGCTGCCATGAAGATCGATGTGTGGGCACCCAGGGGACGAGTGTACTTGCAGGTTCCGCACCAACTGGCTTAGCCGATGGAACCCTGAACCGTAAAGCGCTTAGCGTTTAAGGTTTAGGGTTTAAGGGTTCGGGGTGTATAGGGTTTAGGGTTTCAGGTCTAGGGTTGTTTTGGAGTTTGGGTTTTAGGGGAAGGGCTCTTGCGGGGTTCTGCCAGGGCTTGCTACAGATTCGTTCGAGTAGGGGTTTAGGGTGCAGGACTCACGAGATCGGGATTAAAGGCCCCGAGACACCCCGCACAGACTTTCGTTTGTGCTACCCGTTTTAGGTTCGTAGGGCTCTTAATATAGGGGCCTTACTAATTACCTATACCATTTTTGGGGGTTCCTTTTTATAACTATAGTATAATGGGCCCCAAAACCCTATTCTAATAATTCTTCAGGCCCCTATATTTGGGTGTAGCTTCGAAGGGTTGTGGGGCTGCAGAGTCTCATGGTGGCAAACCTTCTTTTGTTGGGTCAGGGGTGCTTTGTCCTTGCCGTCATAAGTACCCTAAAAGGGATCCTAATTGGGGTTATGGTACTTATAAGTCTCTAAAATAACTAGCTACTAAGTCCTCCGACCTTCCACCTTTTGGAAGGTGGGGGATGGTGTGGACGCCCGGTACGAGTTCGAGGTCGTCGAGCTAAAACCTGTGTGGGACGAGGCTGTCCAGTCTTACCCTTCGCATTAAAACTTGCGAAGCACTAATTCCCAACTCGAAGTCCCAAATCTTGTTGGTAATCCTGCTACAGTTTCAGTTGGTATACAGAGTTTTGGGGAACTGTTACCCGCAGGCTCAAGAAGGTACGGCCTGTACGTTAGTTTTGTGTGGCAATATATGACTACTACGCGCTTCCACACTGTGCTTCTACAGCCTACCCAGCACCCCCACACCCTACAATTTCGAAGGTCACGCAGCTTTTACTTATAGGCTATAGTCCGTAAAAATGGTAGGTACTAATTACCTGGACCCCAGTTAAACTACCTTTTTTACGGTATCGCACTGAGTCTTGTAGCCTCCAAGTCAGCACTACCAACACACCCAAGCCAACCTTGAACAACTGCAGCAAAGCCCGATAGCTTCATAGCGCGTACCCTAAGGCACAACATGCCACCAACATGCCTTACATAGCACGGCTTGGGCCCATATCATTCTTGTCTTCGAAGGCAAGGAGTACTAGGCCCGTATCAAAGAGGCCCGGCAAAGGTCAGGTGGTAAGCCAAACAGTCCCTACGTGAAATTTGCACGACCAACTTTCTCCCAGAATTTAAGCAAACGTCATCATATCAAGTTTTTAGGAACCGTGCACAGTATGCCGTATACCAATCCCTGAAAGTCCATGATATCTGAAATCCGGCGGTTCTGATATCATGAAATTATGGACCACAAAAAGATACCTCAAAAAGAACCAGAAGGTTGGGATATCCCACTAGCCCCTTCATAAACAAAGCAATGAGGTAGTGATATCCCGCCCAAACGTTATGTTTGGATCCTTTTTTGGAGCCCTAGAAGTCATGGGTTAGGAGTTTAGGGCGTAGTATAGGGGTCTGAGTACCCAGTATTGAATGTCCTACTACGGTACAGGCCCTAATAAGCCAACTATACGTTAACACCCCATTTTCACTGATCAACAGTATTCGGACCTAAACCTAAGAGCGTATGATACTGGGCTTCGAATGCCTAAAGCCCAGCGTCATAGATTGGGGGTTTAGAGTTTAGGGTTTCGGGGGTACCCTAAGTACTAAAACGTAACTCCTTGGACTTGGATTTTGTGCCCTTTTCCAAAGGAACCTTGTTGTATGGCTCACTTGATGGTTATGGAGTTCCACGAGAAGGGTTTTGTCGTCCTGGTGTGTTCTATCGAGCTAATAGTTGTTTGTTACGACTGGCCGATGTTAATACAGGTTAAGGGTGGTGCTTTACGGTTGAGGAAGGGTTTCTGGAAAGGATTGATGCTCAAAGCAAGTCCATGAAGGTTCGGATACAGCTGTCCCTGAGGGTCCATGTACCCATATAGGGGCCCAATGTATCTATGTAGGGAGTACTTTAAAGTCAATGTATATACTACATAAGTACATGGACCCTTTCGGTTTGTTGCTTCCACCATCTTTGTGACCTCACGGTTGGATGGAGGCCTCCATATAGTCCCACCCCCCGAGGGCTTCTGAACTGCTGAGCCCTGATGAAGCTCCTCCGCCCTGAAGCCAAAACCCCAAACCCTGAACCTGGAATCCGAAACCCTAAAACCCTAAACCTCAAACCCCTAAACCCCTAAACTCTGAACCCCCAAACCCTAAACCTAAACTCGTGACTCCTTCACTCTACCACCCTGCCCTAAGCCCTGAGTCATAACAGAGCCCTAGAGACGAAACTCTTCGTCTCCGCGCTGCAGTTGAGAAAGAAGAACCTCCAGTACGTGGGTCTCCGGGGCGGCTTCTCAGTTCCACTTTTGTTCGGTTTAGGGTTTAGGGTTTAGGGTTTAGGGTTTAGGGTTTAGGGTTTAGGGTTTAGGGGCGGGCGGGGCGGTGGGCCTTACCCTAAGGCCCCAAAGTTGTTCCTTTTTGCGGCTCATGTTTAGAATCCTTTAAGGTAATCCCAAAACGGAACTACTTTGGGGTCTATGGGTAATGATTATTCTATAGCTGTGTGGAAGAGCCCTATACGGAACAATCGGAGTTGGGATCGGTATTGTATGAAGGAACCTTGAGTAATAGGCGGAATAGTGTGGGTAATCCAAGGGATGGAGCATTTCAGGCCATGGGATGTACGACTTGGGATAGGCAAGGGCTAGGCACTGGCGACCTCCAACATAACATTGGTTTCCCTGTACTTGCCGGAATGGTCCCTGTACCTATGTCACATATATATATATATATATATATATATGTAGATATACACACACATACATACACATATACGTATGTATATGCACACACACATACATGCACAAATGCATGAATAAATACATTAAACAAGTAGGTAAGTGCATGAACTCCTCTAAGTCCACAATATCCTATACAAAATAGGTACAAGGGCCCGTTTTGTTTTTCCCATGATTGGATCCGTTCCCTGTGAGAGGGTGTACCCCGTGCCACAAAATAATATGCAGCCGTTACAGCCGCACTGCTTGAGGCTTGGGTTCGGGTGGGGAGTGAGGGCGGTAGCCCTAAACCCCTAGACTTTAAAACCGTAAACCTAAACCCCTAAACCCAAAACCCTTAAACCCCTAAATCCTAAACCATAAACCCCTAAACCCTAAACTCCTAAACCCTAAACCCCTAAACCCTAAACCCCTCAAGCCTAAACCCTTAAATCGCCCTCACTGCAGCCCTCGAGATCCGAAATCCTCGGGCCCACATGCAATTTGCCCCAAGACCGAAAGCTGTGTACCTTAACGAAGCCTTACACAAACCCATGCTGCTGTGTCTGAGGGTTTCGGAGTTTCTTAACCAGAAGACCGCTCCACATCAGAGCTTAAGGCAGTCGTATCGTCAGCGCGCAAAAGGAAGCTAACCGTAAGGTGGATCCATGGCCCGGCGCTAGAGTTGTCCTCCGGGCCCCCGTTCTGTGACCTGCAAAGGCTACAATCTTCAGTTCTGCCGTGTGCTCCGGGTGCAGGCCATAGGGGCTCAAGGGCTGTTGTTTGTTGGTTTAGGGTTTTACTTACCTTTGGTTAGAGGGAGCTTCCCAAGGGGCCTTATGAAGGGGTCTATAGGGGTTACTATAAGGGATCTTTAAGGGCTTCAAGAATCCTATAACTTACCTTTGGTTAGTAGGCAATGGAAGAATGGTAGTAATAGTAGTTATTAATTGTACCCCATTCCTCCACTCCCTACTAACCAAAGGTAAGTTTAGTGGCGTGGTTGCTGCGACTTAGCTTTTTGTTCGGTGATGGTCCATGGTCTTCCGTTTGTATGCAAGGGACACGTAAGAACGCAGAACCCGTCCCCGGAACAACAATCGATGCGCCGCTGTATGGAGGCCCCTTACGAGAGCATCCGGTTTTCGAGTATCATCCCGAAAGCCAGACTTGTCTTCTAGTCCGCAGATCCTCCGTTCTCCTGGGAACTCTGAAATCTGTGGTCGATAAGCCCCTCACATAAACTTCTGTGCGCAAATACAAGACCTTGAACGCCCTTTCCTGACATATCTCTTTACCCGACACCCTCCACACCCTCTAATCCATCAACCGTCTACAATCGCAATAAGAGCGTTGTGATCACCATTATTACAATTCTGAGTATGACGATAGTTTAAATATATACATATATATATATATCTGTATTCTTATTAGTTACAATGAATAGAAACAAGATGGCCCTAAACCCTAAACCCAGCTGAGCAGTAAGCAGAGCATCCCTACGACCGGACCGTAAGGATGCTTAGGGGGGTAGGGGGGACGGTTTAGGGTTTAGGGCTACCCCCTTTTAAGGGTCCCTATGAGAGGACCCAGAGACGAAACTGCTACCGGGCTCCGTAGTGTGCGATCTGGATGCACCCGTGGAGGACAAGGGGTGCACCTTGCGGGGTTTGGGGGGCTTGTGGGGTTCAGGGTTTATGGGTTTAGAGTTTAGGGTTTATGGGGTTTAGAGTTCAGGGTTTAGGGTTTATGGGGTTTAGGGTTTTGGGCTTATGGGGTTTAGGGTTTATGGGGTTCAGGGTTTAGGGCTTATGGGGTTTAGGGTTTAGGGCTTATGGGGTCTAGGGTTTATGGGGTTTAAGGTTTATGGGGTTTAGGGTTTAGAGCTTATGGGGTTTGGGTGTATGAGGTTTAGGGCTTATGGGGTTTAGAGTTTGGGGCTTGTGGGGTTCAGGGTTTAGGGTTTATGGGGTTTAGGGTTTTGGGCTTATGGGGTCTAGGGTTTATGGGGTTTTGGGTTTATGGGATTCAGGGTTTAGGGCTTATGGGGTTTAGGGTTTAGGGCTTATGGGGTCTAGGGTTTATGGGGTTTAGGGTTTATGGGGTTGAGGGTTTAGAGCTTATGGGGTTTGGGTGTATGAGGTTTAGGGCTTTTGGGGTTTAGGGTTTGGGGCTTATGGGGTTTAGGGTTTAGAGCTTATGGGGTTTGGGTGTATGAGGTTTAGGGTTTAGGGCTTATGGGGTTTAGGGTTTAGGGCTTATGGGGTCTAGGGTTTATGGGGTTTAGGGCTTATGGGGTTTAGGGTTTGGGGCTTATGGGGTTTAGGGTTTAGGGCTTATGGGGTTTAGGGTGTTTAGGGTTTAGGGCTTATGGGGTTTTGAGTCGAGGGTATGTATCCGGGATTCTTTAACTTTAGCTTCGTATCCAGCGAAGTCAGCAAGCCATAAGAAGCCTTGTGATGCTCTGCCACATGAAACCCTAAACCCTAAACCTATACACCCTAAACCCGAAAGCTTGAGAAATCTCAGGACTCAGCACCTCACAAGTTTGTTCTTCAGGGCCTCCGCTCTAAGCCAAATCAAGCCCAAGTAGCTGGAGACTCCCCTAGAGTCGAAGCCTCCAAGGATAAAAGGAGGGACCCTTAATCAGGACCCCTAGGTATATACCCTTATAATATAGCTACTATATACCCATTATATAGCCCATTATAGGGTCGGGGTCTCCATTCAGGTTTCCTCCTTTTCCCCTTTGAGAGCCAGACAGATGGAGCCTTCTGAAGGTGCAGTTTAGGGACCTTGCCGCGGCACGGGTTTGGGGTCCACCGGTGGGTTCCGATACGGGCTGCGGGGGTTTATCGGTGGGTCGCGATATGGGCTGTGGCGCGGGTTTGGGGTCCATAGGGTCATAATTCCACAGCGACACGCGCTGCGGCGGCGTGGCGGCTGCCGGGTGGGTCGCGACACGGGGCAGGGTTTAACCGGGTCTCGCGATGTGGACTGCGGGGCGGGGTGGGGCGAACCAGACTGGGTCGCACGATACGGGCTGCGGCGCGGGGTGGGGTCGCTAAAGCAAAGCTCGTTGCCACTGTTCTCGCGTGGAGATGGTTTTTGGGTTCCCGGTTTAGGGCATTCCTTGCTCCAGTGTTTCGGGTCTCTGCATTGGAAACATCCTTTTGCTTTACAGTACCTTTTCCTTTTATTGATTTTCCTTTGCTCTTTCCATTTTCTCTTCCTTGGTACATGCCTGTGCTCTTCCCTTTGAACATTCCTTTGCTTTGCTTTTGCATCCGTTCCAAACCGCTGCAGACCCAAAATTTCGAGGCTCTCAAAACCCACACCGGAAGCCCAAACACTGATGCTTTAAATACTCCCTTCAACCCTAAACCCTAACACCCTACACCCTAAACCCTACCACCCCTAAAGCCTATAACAGTTGAACCTCAAGCTGAACAAGAAGCCTCGGAAGATGATGGCATCACGGTGAGGTTTGGTGAAACGCGCCGTGGAGTCGACCGATGGCACCATCGAGATGGGTCCATACGCAACCGTCGTCAGGAGCGCCTTGCCAATGAGCAGACCACATCGCCCCCTGTGGAGGACATTTCCACCTCTGCCTGTGATACTCCGGCCGCTTTTAATGTCGTCGGTGCTGCTGAGAGTAGGGGTGAGGTTGTCGTCAAGGCGGTCACGTTCTATGGTGAGCACTTTCAAGTCCGGGCAGCCTCTACTCCGTATGTGTCCTTCAGCAACGATTCTACGAGACCAGGGGATACTGCCACTGAGGATGACTCGTGCCAGGACTCTGCCTCGGCTTCTTCCAGTCATGATGTCCCAGTCGGCTTCTGGCATCATGGGGAATGGCACGAACGACCCAGATCGGAGGCTGAACTTAGAGCCCATAGAGGTGGCCTGGGTCCGAAGAGACTTGCCCGCAACGCGGAAAGACTTCGGGGCTATCTCAATGGCGAGTGGAAACCCGCCTGGCTCAAGCAGTATGCCAAGGAGAAAGAAAGCCGCCAACGTGCACTGGCTGTTCTTCGACAGACCACAGATGGACCCATCATCGACCCCCAGATCATGAACGTGTTCCTTGGGAAATCCGCGAACAAGTCCGTGGTTGAAGAGGACTCCAGCAAAGTCGCTGAGCCTGAGCCAAGTGCCTCCTGGAACACCACAAACCTTGCTCAGGAACCTGACCCTTGGTCTGGTCACGCTTGGCAGACTGGATGGTGGAACTCGCAGAGCTATGGGGGACAAGTACCTGAACATGCACCTTGGCAAGATTGGTCTTCGTGGAGCTCCCAGTGGCCAGAAGAATCATCCTCTAGTTCTTCCTGGTGGCCTGGTACTTGGAGTTCATCTACGTCTGCCTGGCCTTCGACATGGAGCTCGACCACTTCGTCTTCCACTGTACCAGTGATTCCAAATACAGGCTTGTTCCCTGAAGTTCTCCCTGCCATTCTGGATAATGAAGAAGCCATAATGATGCAAATGACAGGTGCTGAAAGGGCGCGACTCCAGGAAGCCGGAGTTAGTCGTGATGGTGTGAACAGCATTGAGCAGCTGTTGGACGCCCTGGACACGCACAACCAAAACGACCGAGGCCCCGAAGCCCGATGGGCACTTGGGTGTATTTTGCATCGAGTTGAAGATGGACTCGCCACGACCGAAACCATATATGAGGTCCTGGCAAGACGATTGGTGCCTCGAGGGTTTCTACCACTGCAACGTATACCAAGCGACGAGATGTCGAGATGGCGCCTGTTCAATTGGGCTCGTGGCATCGTAGAGACCTTCACGCGCCAGTTTGACCAGAACCTCAATGTCAGACTGCAGGCAGGCGAGTGTGGTGGCCCGAGTGACACAGGAGAGGGCGCGCCGTCCATGCACGCCGATGCGGAAGAGGGTGAAATGGAACCTGCACTGCCTATGAGACGAGTCATTTCACAGCAGCCCAGTGGAGGAACTCGTCCAGTGGATCCTCACTCGCCGTCTTCCTCAAAACGATCCAGATCACGGAGCCGCTCACTAGGTGAAATGGAAGGAGGTCCTGCTTCGGCCTCTTCATCCTCTTCGTGTTCTGAAGACGTCAGTGTTGCCTCCATGAACAGTGAATATGAGAGGAACGAAGCGGGTGAACTCGTTTATGTGCCCCCCGCACCTCCAGGCATGCCTCCGAATGGACCACCGCCGCCGGAACCGGTCAACAGACCCGCACGCCCGGTTGTCTGTGCACCTGTCCCTGTTCATGGCTCTGAAGCTCAGGCGCTTGCGGGTGAACTTCTGGGCATTTGGACAGAGGAGAGCACCACCACCACGACCATGATGATCGCACAGGACCTGTTTGTGAGTGACCTTGACGAAGACTTGCAGGCCCTGTCCGAAGGTGTACTTCTCTTCCAGCATGGATGGGTGACATTGGCATCCTGTACTGACACCACTACAGTTGGGAGTATGTATCTCAACGTGTCTCAAAGTTTACAGCCGACTACCACAACGACGTCCTCATCTTTTGCTGTCCCTTCTGATGATGTGGTTCGGGATGCTGTCAACCGTGAACTCGTGCATGCAAGTAGTGCCGACGTCATTGAGGTACTACACAGACTCCAAGCTCATGCCCGACTGCAACAACGACTTCTTCGTCTTCTTGGAGTGGCGACAGAGGAAGCACTTCTCTGGCTAGACTCACCTGTGCATGCCCGAGCTTTCAATGCACCGACCATGGCAGCAACCATCTGGCATCAAGTTAACATTGAAGCTAGCATGGGTGATCGCCCTACGAGTTCTGGAACTACACAGGTTTCCAACACGATGGTTGCTTTACTTCAACCAGGATTACCGAGTGACTTACCTGCCCTCTGGAACAGTTTGCCATCGGTTGCTCCCCGCACAGTGGTGGGACTACGGAGAAGGGCGTGGCGAAGACATGCTGGTTGGCTACATGAGATGGCAGGTCGTGCAACACCTGGTGGTCTCTGGCCATCGGAAGAGGATCAGAACTTATACCTCATCCAAACCAGTGAGAGTACGCCGGTGGAGAACATGCCTCCTGGAACGAGTACACCCAGTATACCATCGAGGCTTGCAGAACGTCATCGTCGTCGGCTTCGTCGACCCCGCCCAGCTCCTTCCTCTGCACCTCCGGATGATCTTGGGGCAGTGGTAGGTGCTGTGACTCTGGATGAGTATCGCCGTGGTCGTAGAGCTCATGAAGCAGACTCGATGGTCCAAAATGCCCCTGACTCTCTGGTCCCCGTCGGTGGTCGTGCTGCTCCTGAAGCTGATCTGCCGGATCGTGAATCTGCTGTTGGTGTTCCTGAAGCTGATTCGCCGGATCGTGAAAGTGCTGGTGCTGCTGGAGGAGCTCGTCCTGATGCTTCTGACTCTGAGGCTTGTGATGGTGCAGGAGGTCCTGTTCGAGCAGCTCGTCGTCGTGTTCGAGTGGATCCTCGTTCCCGTGGTGAGCGCAGTCGTAGTCGTGATGAGGGTGGTCGGAGTCGTGATTTCGGCTCTTCTGATTCTGTTCGAGATATTGAAGAAGTTGATTGACTTACCTGCTTGTCGATCACATGTTCCTTCTTATTATGCTGGTGATCCTTCTGTCCTTCCACTTCTGAGATGCCTGTACATGTAGTGTAAGCCGACTCTGGCTGGAGCTTTTCGGAGAAAGGGTCCATTGCACTTTAAAAAAAAAAAGCCTATACCCTAAACCCTACCACACGCCCCCCCGCCCCGCCTCAACAAGACTGAGGGGAGCCCTCCCTCGCAGGAAGGCACGCAGACGCTGATAAACGGGTCCCTGCCGGAGGAGGTGGAGCTTTGGTATTTGGTGCAGCTTGGGGAAGTGTAACTGAACCCTAAACCCTAAACTCCTTGACTTTACGACTCTAAACCCCTTAACCCTGCCCTAAACTCGAAGGTTCAACCCTAAACCCTTGACCCCTGAAGTTAACTCGAAGCCTAACTGGGTACTTCAATCTCTAAATCAGGGTCCCGTTTCAAGGTGCTTTTTAAAGGGGCCGAACTATTTTTGAGGATCCAAAGAAGGAACCTAATTTAGAGAACTGCCCGAATGAATGATGGATATCAGCTTCATCGAAAAGCAGGCCCGGTTCAGGCTGGAGCACATCGGCAAGAACAACGTGCCGCGACCTGGCAGCAGAGTTTAAGACTAGCGCAAAGGAGTTATGTTTCGGCTTTTTGGACTTTGGGTTCAAATTCACGAATTTGAAAGCCTAAACCGTTCAGCGCCTTCGGTTTTAAGGAACAGCGGCTGTGGCGCAGACATGGGGGGATTGATCCGTGTTAGACTTCCTAGGTTCCTGGGGTTATACTGATACTGTTATACTTCCAGGATGGCGGATCACCTTGTAGAGGCGTCTCCTTAGTAGCTGAGTGGATACACTGTACACTTTTGGGGATAATAATACCCACTATACAACTGAAAGCGTACGCTTTTGGGGGCTTAGGAACTCAGCAGCTGAGGTCTCAGAATTGAACATTAGGCACACAGTTGTGGTTGTTGATGATGGTTTTCTTTGGTGAGTACGACCCCTAAACCTTCTTACATCAAGACATGATAGCTATTCTCAACATTCTCACATGTAGCTATAGCAATAACTATCGCTGTAAGCATAGCTGGTTATAGCTATAGCGACAAGTATAACAATTGATGTTAGTACTTTGCATTTGGTACGGAGGGGCTCTTGTAGCATATCCCGAAAGTTGAGTCTTTGGTTCACATTGCCTTTTGGGTCCCTAGTGTTTGCCTAAGCTTATGAAGCGTCCGAAGCCCCGGACCCTAAGATATGATTTGAGCTTTGCCCAAGTTTTTTTGAAACGGCGGTTGCCAGTGCTTCAGCAGTTGGAGCATTGATCTAACACTTGGTGTCTTTGGTGGCTCGCTTGTGTGCCAGTGTTTACGTGTTGGGCTTTGGGGTCATGGTTTCAGGCAGGTTTTGTCTTCGACGCTTCGTGGCTGGTTGAGGCTGTAGTACCTCTGGCAGCCCGCACCTTCTCCTGTCAAAAGCTCTGTCAGAGTTCATATATGTTTTTTATTGTAACGCTGCACCTGTTCAAGGTCTCCTGGCTTCATACTCAGATCTTGAAGAATGACGGCTTGGGGTTTTGTGGGTAGGGCCTGGGCATGAGCAGTTCGCCATCTTGGCCACCAGTCTCCTTTGATGAACCGGGATCGCCAAGCCTTGCGTAAGAGGGGTGGGCACAGGGAATGTGCGGACCTATCCCGCCTATGCCCTGACCCTTGAAATGCTAAAGCCTAAACCCTTAAATCCCCAAAGCCCTAAACCCCAAACCTTGCACCCCGACGTGAGCTGTTGAACCCTATATAATCATAGGGACCCTTAGGGGGGTAGGGGGATGGGGGCTAGGGGGCCTTAATGCCCATAACAGGGACCTGATAAGGCCTGTTTCAGGGAGTTTAGCTCCCGCCAACCCCGCTAAGGGTCACAGGAGCCCCAAGCAAAGCAGCTGTTGAAGGTCGACCATCAGCATCGGCGGCGGGTCCAGCTCAGCAGAAGCTTCCTGCGAGAACTGCGAGGAGAGCCCTTTTTTAGGTTTTTAGGGGTTTAGGGCTTAGGGGTTTAGTGTTTGGGGTTTGTGGTATTCCTCGATTCTGGGCTTTTACAGTTGCTTTAAAGGGGACTCTCTGCTGTAATCGTTACTGCCAGCGCTGCCGCTACAGTTAGCGTCACTGCTACCGCTACTGCCACTGCCACGGCTGCCAGCACTGATACCACTACCCAAAGGCCCCAATGTAGTTCGTTTTGGGGATTGCCTTGAGGGATTCCAAATAATATGAGCCCCCAAAAAGGAACTACTTTGGGGCCTTAGGGTAGGGCTACGACTCCCGCGACACAGGAGAAATCCGAAGAGACAGCAAAGGAGGAGGTCGTCGCCTCAGGGATGTCGCTCTAAAGTTGGGTCTTGTGGGTTTAGGCTTTTGGGTTTTGGGTTTTGGGTTTAGGGTTTTAGGGTTTAGGGTTTAGGGGCTTAGGTCCCACGCTTCGGGAGTACCACTGATGCACAGAGTCAGGCAGTATTAGCCGGAAGTACGAAGCATGGCCAAGTTCTCTCTTGTGGATAGAACAGGGCTTTCTCTATGAGCAGCAGCGGCCCGTGTATTTAGTCTTTTTCATAAGGCTTCCGGGGATGTCAAGTGAAGTGCCAAGGACAGGATACACGGGACACCGCAGCCCCAACCTCAAGACGTATCACTGTGTGGCACAAGCAAGCCTTAAGCCGCTAAACTGTGGATTGCTGCGATTGGAGCTCGAACAACCCTACGCCTCCATGTACCGATATAGTATACACCAGGCACACTGGGCTTTAAAGTACCTGTATAGGAACCCCGCTTTAAGGCCTAATGAGACACTAAGTAGGTGCATGGCGAACTGGGGGATGGTGCTGGCTTCGGTGTTACTCTTGACGGCACAGCGCCGTTACGGTAACGACTTTGCACCAATGCTACGCACAGCGAACCCAGATGCAAGCCTAACACCACAATCCCTCAGCGTCAAGTATGCCGCAACCGAGGCCGAGGCATATAACTCTCTTCGAAACGATGTGTTTCCATGGGCCAGGCTGCCTCTTCGTTGATAGCTTGCAATTGGCCGATCGTGCCATTCAGCCTGAAGACACATCCTGTGATTTTCGAGCTACTAGGTGAGCGATTTTCAAGAGGATTGATTGTCATGCCTTGTCTCAGTAGGTATCCATGTAGGTACTTACTATCCCGTCGGGACGAACTGCCTCCAATCCTTCCACAGCTGGCTATATCACATCGAGCCTCCAAATCCGATGCGGTACCTAGTGGCAGAGTAGGTAACCTTTACCCTTTTTTGTTGGGTAGTCCAGTCCCTATATAATCCCTGTATAGCCAAAAGCGTTAACTTTTAGTTCCCCATGATACCCTACAAGCAGGGGTATAAACTCCGAATCCTCAGGCCACGCCGCACAGGTCCAGGTTTAAGATCTAGGATGCCCGGTACTACCCTTATTCCCTTTTCTGGTCCTAGGTTCCTTAAAAAGTTACCCACTACCAAAAAGGGAGCCCTCTTTATTACTAGGTTACTGGGCATCCCAGATAAAGCCCGTAGCCCTAAACCTTACCTATAATCTCCATTGTAGTTCCTTTTTTTGGTTAACCAAAACTACTATTTGCTTAAGAACCCCCAAAAAATAAAAAATATATTCCTTATGGGGGTAATATAGGGATTATTATTTTTATTTTTTGGGGGTTTCTTAAGCAAATAGTAGAAAATCTCTATTAAAGGATCCTAACCCTAGAACTGGTTAGCCATCCCAGAGATCCTTTTCGAAGCCCCATGCTTCCTCGCATGACGCCACGAGATCAAAACGACCCCTAAAGGTCCATGTGCCCAAATAGTATATACTTTGGACTCAAAGTAGTCTCTATATAGGTACTTTGGGGCTTAAGTATATACTATTTGGGTACATGGACCTTTCGGGGACGAGGTCGATGCAGAGCTGTCGGACAAAGCCGATGTGGACAGTGAGCTGGCAATCCGGTCCCTCGGAGCGCTTACAGCCTTGGGAAACTCTGAGGACTAGTGGCGCACTACAGGGCTTTAATAATTACTGATACTGTTTTGGAGGTTCTTTATCATAAGTATAATGGGCCCCCAAAACACGAATTATTCGAATTGTTAGGGCTTTCGGGATGTTTGGGGTTTCGGGGGTTCGTGTCTTCGGGGTTCGAGGTTCAGCAGGCTTGATGCTTTCGGTAGTCATTCCGAGAGCCCAACACCCTCTGATTACGGGGCCTTCCACTCAGGCGGTCCCAGTACCTGCATTGTTCATATGCGTGGTTGTCAAAACTATGGTCCCTTTTTAGGTCCCTATTATAATACGGCACTTAGTATTTAGGGTACCCCAAAGGGGACACTAATTTTGACAGCCACTCTGCAGACCCTTTCGGAGAACCTGAAGCAGCCGAAGATCCTCTTCGAACCAGGCCGCCATGTATCCAATCTCTAAACCCTATACTAGACCCCTGTAGCAACCCTTCCCGAAAGCCTTTAAGGGAACCTTCGTAGCCTTATTTTAAAAAAGGAAACCTCACAGACTCCCCACAGAACCCCAAACTCTAAACCCTAAACCTAAACCAGTAAACCAAATAGATCAAGAAGCCTAACCCTGTTTCCTAAACCCAAAGCCGTACTTAGAGGATCATGGGACTAACCCCACTTAGGGGGCTTATTGATATTCCCCATTACAACCGGCTTACTAAGTCCCAGGATGCTCTAAGTAAACCCTAAATTTAGGGGTACTTAGAAATACTTTGTAATTCTTTGCTAGTATAATCCCTAAGAAACAGCTAAAGTTATAGTTGTTGCTAGGGTTCTAAGTTCAGTATAGTGAACTGATCCCCAACTCAACCCTCAACTCCTTCAGCCCTAAACCCTAAGCCCTAGAGCCTAAACCCTAAACCCGAATCCCTAAACCCTAATAACCCGAAACTGATCCCCAGGCTCGTTTCCGTGACAACCAACCAGTACTGCCGATTGCGGCCCCTCGGTGTGAGCTTTAGGGGGCTCAGGGTTTCGGTGGTTTAGGGCTCAGGGTTTCGGTGGTTTAGGGCTTAGGGTTTCGGTGGTTTAGGGCTCAGGGTTTCGGTGGTTTAGGGTTTAGGGGTTTAGGGGTTTAGGGTTTAGGGGTTTAGGGAATTGGGTTTACGGCTAGGGTTTAGAGTCAATCAAGGGGTTTGGGGCCTTAGGGCGGTTAGGGTTTAGGGCCTAGGGGTTTACAGGGTTTAGGGTTGAAGGGTTTGGGCTTTTGCGGCTTTTAGAATTTAGGGGTTTGGCGGTTTGGGGTCTAACTTTGGGGGGGCTCTTGGGTTTTGGTGCTGCTGAATTTGCGGGTTGTAGGGTTTAGGGTTCACGGCATGTGGTTTGAAGTGTTCAGGGGTTAAGGGGTACGGGTGTTTCGTTTTTTTCTGCGGTTTAGGATTCAGGTGTGTCATCATTCAAGGGAGTGTGGGCTGGGGATTAGGGATTTAGGTGTTTAGGGGGTGTACTGTTGGCGTTGTATGGACTGCTGTTACATTTGAATAGGGTCATTACAAACGGCTATTGAAGTTTGCACAGCTTGGTAAAGGATTTTGTCCAGTTTCTGGGTTATGGGGGAAGGGTGTGGGGGTGGAGGTGGTTTCGTTCGCTCTGTATAGAAAACTCATGTTGATTCCGTGGGTTCCGGATTATGTATTGGATGGACAAAACACACCTAAGCACGCGGAGGGATGGGAAGATCCCTTACACAACCCCTTGCACATGTTAATAATACGTACTGTCGACTATCTTTCTATCTACCTATCTATCTATCTATCTATGTTTCTATCTGACCATCTGTCTAGCTACCTATCTATCTGTCCACCACATATCTCTGTGTGTATGTACCTATGTGTAAATCAAGTGTGTGTGTGTATATATATATATGTACATCTATATAAATGTGTATATATATATGTCTTTTTATTTGATCATGTACATACGTACATACATATACATAAGCCCACAACGGAGGGGATCTTCCGTAGAGAGGTGGTTCTTACGTTCTTGTTGGAGCGGTCATCTTGTAGCACCGTCTCAGCCGAGGCGACCGTGTCTGTGGAAATAGGGCGGCGAGAGCGGCGGCGAGGGCGGCGGCGAGAGCAGCGGCGAGGGCGGAGGCAAGGGCAGAGGCGAGGGCGGAGGCAAGGGCGGAGGCAAGGGCGGCTGCAAGGGCGGCGGCAAGGGCGGAGGCAAGGGCGGCGGAAGCTGGCATGCACAGCTACCGAATATTGAAGATTTGAAAGAGGGTCAGATATTCGACACAGGAGCGGAGCGCGACCAATTCGCCCAGGTGTTAAAAATTTTTCCGCATAACAGGACTCTTTTGCTGAAGACACCAGAAAAAACTGGTATCGTACACTATCCGCATTCTGAGCAAACAGGTGCCCAGGCGAAGGAGATGTCTGACCAGCTGGAGGCCTATTCTCTGCTTATGAGAAACGCAGCCTTCTCATTACTTTTCATTCGTACCGTCGACGCTAAAATCCGCGATCTCGTCCAAGAGATTGATGCCGCTCAGGTCAACTTACAGGATATGCTTACTAATCTACTGAAAATAAAGACAAAACGATATGGCCAGGTTCAATACGTCGTAGACCGTCTGATTCGGGAGAGGGACGACATTAACCTGATTATAAAGCGAAAGGAAAACGAAATTTATTCACTTGTGCAAGCAGCTCAAAAAGTCATAGCGATTCGAGCAGGTACTGAAGCCAAGAAATTCAAACAGGTGCTCAGGTGGGAGAACTCTTGGAAACATTACCATCCGATTCCTTACTTGAGGTCTATCATACAGCACGATCACCCTGTGGACTTTCAGAAAGATGTGTTGAAAGGGGCACTCAGGTCATTGTTCATGTTCGTCAACGAGAATACGAAATTCAAGATGTTTGTTCCTCCTCCGTCGTGACACTCCGGGGCTTGAAGCAAATGCCATGATGCCTTCGAGGGTCACCATGCCTGTGCTCGCAGGTTTGATCCGTTTGTGAGGGCCGTTGGGGCAAACAGGAGAATATTGCGAACACTGCAAGAGAATGTTGTAAGGTATCACTTTCGTCAAACGGAAACGATATGCGCTTATACGGGTTACATGCCGCTGCCAGAGTGTGGTTCAATTTTTGAGCTTTGAGTATTAGCCTTCGACCCCTTTTAGACCGCAGCGAAAAGGATGTTGCCACCCGTCGGAAGCACCATGTCGGAGCTCCAACGATGGGCTGGGGGACTGGAAGCCGCGAGGCGCGTGCTTCTGGTGCGTTTCCTGTACTTCAAGTTGAAGGCGGAGCTCCATTGCTGGCAACGGAACGAGGCGGGTCGAACAGACGGCAGTGTGAGTTTCCAAATGTCGCAATTCATCGATACGACAGGCCATGAACAAAACGCTCATGACGTGGCTGTTGGATGTGTTGGATTTGACCAAGAAACAGCCGAGCCCTCAGCATGTTCGGCCGCGTCCGTGCTCTGTTCTGAAATTATGCCCAGGACGCATGCTATAGGGAAGTTTGAGTAGTTTTTACCCAGGGTATCCATCAGCCTCACGAGCCTCCGGATGAAGAGCTTGTCGAGCTTGTCGAGAACGTTAACGAAATGAATTAATTAGAGTCCGATCAACTCGTCCCAAGAAGGAACAAGAGAAGTGAAAGGTTTGGCCCTGAATCTGCTGTTTAGGGAGTGGAGTTGTTTAGATATGCTTAAGCACCAGCTGAGTATCTGCAAAGGAGCGCTGCAATTTCTTGCAGCTGAAACACCCCCGAGACTACCAAACCCGAGCGTCTTAGCGTGCCTCAAGCCAGAAACAACGTCAACTTTCACATGGTGTTGTGCAAGGACTTGCATGAACAGATCTTTAAACCTTCGAAGAACCACACCGAAAGACATGGATTTGTGCATGAACCCAGAGATGAGCCCATACTTGGCGACAAAGTCCCCGCACAACACCACCCAAGAAGTGCGGTCAGTAGTGTTCTTTGTGCCCCACTTCCATTGGCCATCGGTGATAAACTCACACATGGCCGAACACACACACGATGAAACCAAGCACCCCCGAAGGCGAATACCTACACAGTCCTGAGGAAGAATGGGAGCACAAAGTACACCTACGAAAAGCACAGAAGCCTTAAAGCTAGGATGGAACATCCAAACGCGGTTTGCCGCATCTGGAGGGACCGAACCACGGGCGACTGCTTTCTGGAAGGCGTCCTCCAGTACTCCAAGCCTGTGAGTGTTGCAACCACCCCTACAAACTGAAGTCTTACCCCTGGCGCGACAAACCGGGGAACAAGAACAACAACTAGAGGAAAGACGCAGTTCCTTAAAGGGCTGCGCGTCTTCCTCACAGGCTGGGTCCCACGAGAAACTGCTGTGATCCTTTCTAGCAACCAGAGTGGCCACCAGATGGGACTGAATGTCAACGGCTCGCTGCAAAAATGGCGTCACAAGGTTCAACTTGCTAAGAAAGGCTTGTTTGGCTGTAGCTTTAGCCAGTTGATCTGCTGCGGCGTTGCCTTTAGTCATCCATTCAGGTTGGCCTTCAAAGTCAGATGTGACATGGGCTTTCACTTTCACAACTACCACATCGCGACCATTCTCGAGAGAAGCCTCTTTTACGAATTCACACCACAAGTCGTAGTTGTCAAAGTTGCGGGCATTTTCAAGCCTGTACCCGGCACTTTTGAGAGAAAGGGCCCTGTCAACTACTGACGCGCAGTCACTGCAAATCGTTAGGGGCCCATGCGTAAGTTTCAAAGCCCACACAGCTGCAAAAAGTTCAGCCCGCTGCGAGGTGTGGTCATTGCCTGGCAACAAACAAGCCTTCTCAAACTTACCGGGGATAACCACTGCTGCTGCAGAAGTTCGCAACAGGCGCCATCTCTCGTGAAACGCTGAGCCATCGACAAAAACTTCTGTCTGTACGGCAAATCGTTCTTCCTGAGTCGGAAAAGTGACCAGTGAGCCGTGATTTATCTGACTATCCCTTAATTCATCGGGCACCAGGAAGATGCCGGTGAACCATGTAAGAAGATGTTCAGAACCTCTCGCTGGTCGCGTTCCTTCATATAACGGACATTCTAAAAACAAGTGTTGATGATTCTCAGGTGTGGCGCTGCAAGAACACTCGTCACTGTCTGTGAGACCTGACGCTTTCAAGCGCGGCCCTGTATAAATTGCACCGGTAAGAATTGTCTCCAATACGGCCTTGGAGTATAGCGATGGTCTTTCGGAAGGCGCTGTAAAAAAGGCTTGAGTATTTCGAAGTGGGAGTCCGCGCGGAAATCGTTATCAAGTAGGAACCTGGTGAGGAACGGCTCCGTGTCTGGCATCGATGTTGCAATCATGTCGTTTGGCTGCCTTCTTGAGCAAATACTTGCGAATGGCTGTGTCAAGAAAATCTCGAAAACGTTGGTTGCTGCCTTCACACAAACACATCTTGCCCCACGAAGCGGATTCGAGGATGAAAGAGCTGGCACTTGAGATGACAAGCTCGAGCTCATTGCAAAGGTATGCGAAAACCGCCGCAATGCCATTTTGGGAAGGCTTTACAGTGTCCTGCAATGTCTTAGCCTTAAGAAGCACCTCGGCAGCAAGCTGCGGGTGGAGTTTGCTCATTTTACGGAGCTTACTAAAGCAATGAAGAGCCCATTTACCAAACGGGTCTACAAACACGTCGTGAAAGGTAGCCAACGCGAGAAAGGGACTACGAACCCGATTCTTCTTAAACAGTACAGAAACAACCGACGATCTAAGGCCATGCAGTTTCCTAAGACTTGGAGCTTGAACCTCGGAGCCATAAACCCACTGCGAATGGCCTGCAGAATGAACGAAAAAGCATTTGCGCCTCCTGTGGATAGGAAGCTGCTTAATTTTAACGCTACGCCGCCCGCCTCGGCTCTGTAGCGGCAGGGCGAGGCGGCAGTGGATGTTGTATACAGCATGCTAAGCGGGAGTGTCGGGGAGGGGGGGAGCCGGACAAGGGGGTGGCAAATGAGCGCAAAAAACGGGTGTCCCCAAACATTTGGACTGCAGGGAGGAGGATTAGGTGGAGGGTACCTGAGGTAACCACCAAGACGCCTGGGCCTGTAACCGGTTAAAGGCCTTCCAGCCATGCCGCCCGGAGCAAGAAAAAACAACACAGAAAGAGCCTGAAAAGAAAGACAGGCAGTGGATTGACGACGCAAAAGCCAAAGCGGGGGCGAGGAAGACGAAACGAGGGCGACAAAAAAATGGGAGCAGGAAAGAGGGAAGAAAAAGGGGGGGAGGGGGGGGTGAGCCGATACACCCACAAGGAAATGCTCCTTGTTAGGAGGTGTATGACCAGTTTATTCCCTAAGGATCAAAGGGCAGCGCCCTGCACACGGACAGTAGTTGTTTTGTCTTGCTACGCAAGGAGAGCTTGTCTTGTCTCAATATGGTAAAACCACTGTGAGCCAATGGGCAGCGGAATGTATATGTATGAGCATGCAGCCATTGCTGTAGGTACCTGTTAGAGCTACCCCTTTAGAGGTTTACGCAAACAAACAGACACTAATTTTCTTTTACCGGAAGCATGGCCGCACATTCACACATATACTATTATGCCCACTGTCACAGTTGCGGAGTTTGGACTCATGATAAAAACAGCATATTGTTTATGCTAGGTATAGCACTGAAGTACACTGTTGAAGTCACTCTTGAAATCACTCCTTTTGAACTCTTTCATGCACATTGGTCAGAGAGATCATCTGTACAAGATCAGGTCTGGTGATGTTCTTCTATCGAATTATGCAGCCCTTCACTGTGCTCTTGTTAGAGCTTTGTGAGTCACTGTTGTGAAACTCTGAGAATTTTCTTATCTCAGATTTGGATCCAGGTTTGGATCATAGGCTCGAGCATAGACGTTCGGATGTGGTTCATCCGGGTCTGAGTGATCTTCTTCGGAACTTGAAAAGATTCCGAGTAATCTGTTCTCAGCCCTGGTGAAGGCGGCGTCTGCAGTGTCATATCCATGGTTGGATGTAGTCGCCTTTGGCTCGGCCTTTGGTGCAGCTTGTGAGCTGATTGGAGTTGCCTCGGCTTTAGCCGGTTGTGGCTGCTTAGCCTTTGCCCGTTCGGCCCTTCTTCTTTCAAGCTGTCCGTCTGAGGACGCCCATGATCTTTCACTTTCATCTCCTGAGGGAGATAAGGCGTGGGCATGAAGGCTGTTCCAGTACTGTGCTGCAGAAGGAGTTAGGACTTCTTCATGGTCAGATTCTGACTGGTCTTCCTCAGAGCTTTGGTCGTCAAAAAGTGTCTCAAGGACATTTTTGAGGTTTTTATGTCTTCGCTCTATCTCTAGTGAGGAATGGACCAATTGATTGAAGACTGTTTTTGAGTCCTTCAGTGCTGTTAGAAGGATTTCCACTCTGGATAGAGTATCTTGGATGGTGTCAAGATGATCCTTTCTTTCCTCCTTGTCTCTCTGGATAGAGTTTCGCAATGATTGTGCGATTCTGAGGAGGTCGAGATATTTCTCAATAGGCATAGTTACCGTATGATTGTCATGTATGACAGTTGTTTCGTCGCTGCTCAAGTTCCTGAATAGGACTTCCACGACTGGTAGAAACTCCGTGCTCCACGGTTCCTCTTCATCATATGTTTCTACGTGCTGTTGCACGCGTTGTGTAAACTGCTCGGCTGCTTCTACCGTTGCATCGATAGAGCTGACGTGTCTTACTGCCATGTTTCGGCACATAGTGTTAATGGCCTGGCCTTGATTGGCTTCGCCAAGTGCAGCGTCTGCATGGTTGCAGAGTCCACTGTTATGGGCTTCTCTAGCTGCTTTTCGTTGAATGCGCCGATTTTGACCTCCTCTTCTGGTAGGACCTTTTGGTCTCGGAGGATCTGAAGGTACTGTTCCTTTCGCCTTTGGCGGAGGAGTCTTAGGTGGAGGTGACATGT